AACGTGCTATGTGAATATTTGGACATATTTGTGGTAGTATACCTGGACGACATCCTAATATTTACTAAAGGAACCCAAGAAGACTATACAGAAAAAGTTAGGTAAGTACTTAAGAAACTTAAAGAGTATGAGCTTTACCTTAAAGCATTAAAGTGTGAATTCTATAAATAATCAGTTAAGTTCCTAGAACATATCGTGTTAATAGAAGGAATCTAGATAGACCTGGACAAGATTAGAGCCATTATTGATTAGTCTATGCCAACAATAGTCAAAGAAGTATAACAGTTCCACGAACTAGTGAACTATTATTAACAATATATACACAAATTCTTAGTAATAGTGAAACCTCTGATAGACCTATTTAGGAAGGCAAAGGAGTTTATTTGGGGAACCAACGAAGAACAAGCATTTAAAGAACTTAAAGAAAAGTTTAGTTAAGGAGACATGCGGATACACTTTGACCTAAATAAAGAGAGTTATCTTAATATAGATATATCAGACTGTGCGATTGGAGCACAGTTATAACAAAAAGATAACACAGGAAAACTAAGATTGGTTATATACTACGTAAGAACCATGACCCCTATAGAATAGAATTATGATATCTATGACAAAGAATTACTAGCAATTGTTGCAGTATTTAAGAGATAGAAACAAGAGCTCCAAGGAGCAAGGCATCTGACCACAGTTATTAGCGACCACCAGAATCTGATATACTTTACAATAATCAAGGAACTCACCCATTAATAGTCAAGATGGTATACTAAGGTGCTAGCCTACTACAACTTTAAAATATAACACTATAAAGGAATAGAGAATGCTTTCGCGGACGTGTTGAGTAGAAGACCAGATTTAATAATAAAGAAAAGAGAATCCAAAGTAATATTATATCTAGATCCAGATACCAAGGGTATGATCTTAGATCAGCAAGTATTGAGAGCTACTTGAATAGTCACGACCAAGGAAGATACTCTAATAAACAAAATATAAAAAGCAATAATAAAAGATCCCTTATTTGAATGAATCAAGAATAATAACAAAAAATATAAAAAGGAAAATAGAATACTTCTATATCAAGGATTGATATATATACCCAGAGAAGTATAACCATAAATACTAAGAGACAACCACGACGCAAAAGTTGCAGAACATTTTGGAATTAAAAAAACTATGGACCAAATTACACAAAACTACTATTAGCCAGGAATGTGGAGAGAGATCAGATAATATATCCAGGAGTGTGAAGTTTGCCAATGAAATAAATCAGAACGACACGCGCTATATAGACTCCTATAGCCTATACTATATAAGGAAATAGCATAGAAATCAATAGTGATAGACTTTATAGTCAAGCTATCAAAGTTAATAGAGCCACAAATGGGCATTTAATATGATTTAATACCTATAGTCATGGATAGATTAATAAAGTATACTTATTTTATACTATTTATCAAAAAGACTATATTACTGGAGACAGCATATATCCTATTATGACATATCTTCACAGATAAAGAATTACTAGACAAAATTATATTAGATAGAGATATAAGATTTATATATAAATTCTGGACAACACTTACTGAAAGAATAGGGATTAAATAGAAAACCTTAATAGTATATTACCCGCAGATAGACAGACAAAGTAAAAGGATGAACCAAATAGTGGAACAGTACCTGAGATGCTATATCAACTATGAATAGGATAACTGGGTTTCACTACTACCAATGGTATAGCTCGCCTATAACAGAGTGAAGAACACCTTAATAGGTATGACACCTTTCTTTACAAACTATAGAAGAGAAATAGAAACAATAAAAACACCAAAAGAAGGCAAGACGCATACCTTAGAAGCAGAGGTTTCAGCAGAATAGATATATAAACTCCATAAACACCTATAATTAGATCTTGAATTCTTGAACTATAGAATGAAATACTACTACGACTAACGGCATATAGAAGCGCCAGACTTTAAGAAGGGGGAAAAAGTATTCCTACTTTAACAAAATATCAAGATATTGAGACTAAGCGACAAATTAGACCACAAGAAACTAGAACTATTCAAGATTTTGGAAAAAATTGGACAACTCAATTACAAACTCTAACTCCTAGAACATATATAAATATACCCAACATTTCACATCTCACTAATTAAAAAAGCACCCTAGAACGCCAAACCATATAAACTAGAAATATAACCAGAAAATCAAGAAAAAGAATATAAAGTTGAAAAGATCCTAAACAAGAAAGTGATTAGTGGATAAACTCACTACTTAGTTAAATAGAAAGGATATAACTTCTTAGAAAACACTTACGAGCTAGCTAGACACCTAAAGGATTCACCACGCCTAATAAAGGAGTTTCACTAGTGGACTTAGTGTTAGAAGAAGAGATTAGCAGAGCAGGATCTAGGAACGAAGTAAGGTTAGATAAAGAACTCAGTTTACTCAGGAGCTATTAGAAGTCATGCTCTTGGAGCTCAGCCAGATGACTCTCCTCTTCCTCTAGCTTTTCTAACTCCTCTACAGTCTTAATAGATGATTCAACAAACTTACTAATATGATTCTAAAGGAACTCACGCTAATAAGTAAGATGATCAAGATAGGCATCAGAATCATTTAATACTTTTTGAAAGGCTTTATAAATTTGCTAAGATTCCTTGTGAGCCTCACGCTCTTTTAACTCCAACTTTTCCTTTTTACGCCAAACTTTGGCCTAGTTAGATAAAGAAGGTGCATAATTGCAAACACAAGGACAACCCACACGGATACACTTCAAACACTTGTGGAATAAGATAACATAACACAGAGGTCGCCATTCTCCAAACAATAAACATAACGGGAGGGCATCGTGACACCAGTTTTCGCAACGTTTTCTTTTAGCATATAAGCATAGATGGAGGAAGAATCCTTGGAAGACTTTGGAACATCAGCAACACCCTTAGAATAAGCCATGGCGAGGCATACTCAAGAAAACACAATAATGAACCAAGGAGAGGGAAACTAACCAGGTTTATATATGCGCGCGTCGGGACGACTTGTTGAGAAAGAAGGGGATGATATTACAGACCACCTGTGGCGCAGCCCCAGGATATACACTCATTGAACGGGAGGATCACGGGCCAGACCTTGAGGGCACTAGTCACGTGACTAATAGCGATAGGACCGATAGGACGGGCTTAGCAGCTTCCTATTGATACTATCACAATAACCAATAGGGGTGATAGGAACCCCTTGGTGGAGAACTATCATACCTATTACTAGATATATACCATGTATATAAAGACGCTTATTACCTTAGAATCAAGAGTCTTATACTCATGATCAAACCAGCTACAGTTTTACCATACTACTCAATACAAAGCACCATTCTAGTTATCTTATACTATATTCACCAAATACCCCTTTGCCCATTAATGTAGGTCAACTTTATCTTCACTACTTATAAGGACCTTTAGCCTTCATCTGACCCAGGCACTGACTGAAGCTATACTTAGAACTGAGGGATAGTCTTACTATAGTATTCTATCTTACCCTAGTATTAAGCCGTCTCCTATAATGACTCACTTCTAACCTAAGCTTTCCTTAAGACCTTCATACCTTCTGTCTTACAGCAGGTGTGAACCTCTGATCACCTTTAGATAATCAAGGAGCGCCGTCAGCTTGTGACAATTAGCTATATTCTTAATAAAGGCAGGCTGGGGTAGTAGTCCTTATTTATCTAGATCTAGAATCTATTAAATAAGTAATTCCTTTTTAGTATTTATTAATTTATATGAGTTTACGCGTAAATTTATATATAAAGAGTAGTCTTTAAGTTAATCTATAAGAGTTAACTTTAGTATATTAAATTAATATATAGCTTTATAAATAGAGGTAATTTCTTTATTTTTTAAAGTAAGAATTATAAGTTTAATCTTTCCCTCTATCTTTATAGAGTTTCTATTATTTTTGTTATGAATTGGTGGCATCATTACATATAGAAGTTGTTAATTAGTTAAAAAGTATACGCGTTTGAATTTGGTGGCCGGCTCGCTTGGGTGGCCGGCTCGCATGTGGATTACGTTAATCAGGTAATTTACCGCTGACTAATTAGCTGACTCAGCGATGTACATCTTAGTACCATAAATACAATTGTGATCCAATAGAACCCTATTATTTTCACAATATATTGTATATAGAATACCATTTAGTACCGGAACAACAGACTTCGCCGAGCCGGAAGCTAACCTTCTTGGGAAGTTAGACCATGCGGCTCGCAACTAACAAATGTTCTATACGGAACCAACATCTACATCTACATCTCCTCTGACAGGATATCAAGGGGAACGAGGACCAGGATGCATTGCTAGACAGGGTACGGATTCCTTCAGGGGAGGCACGTTCATCTTATTGACCGAAGCAGGCCTACGGAGTACTCCGTTCCACCACACGCAAGAAACAGGATAGACATCCGTCTCCGGCGTCTCGCCCTTTAACGCTCGGCTCTAAATACGGAGTAAAGGAGACCCGGCTCCCAGTGCCACTCTATAAATAAAACAACATTAAGGAGCGCGAATGAACGATATCTCCGAGTGACCCAGCGAGGTCTCATTTCATATCCCCTGCTGTTGCGACCAGCTAGCGGATGTGACCCAGCGCCCGGGCAGGGATATGGATAATTTACTTATGCGCTCAGCCGGGATAAATCCATGAATGGACCAGGTCTTCTCCAGACCAGGCCTGTGGTCTAGGTTTTCTCCGCTGCCGGAGCCTCATGGGCACGCTCAAGCAACAGCTGCTGCCTGGACAAAGGTGGCTGTTCAGGCGCTTTCTCTCCTGCGCTCCGATTCCCGACGTTTGAATTAGGACAGACAATCATTCCTTTATCTGTCTAGCTTAACTCTTATCTTCTTAATTCTTACTTGAGTTTAATACTTCCCTTTCCTTCTCACCCCTTGACTTGACTACTTTCGGGTAATTTTTTTTTTTTTTTTTTAAAAAACTGCATTGGTTAAGGGAAAATGTCGTTGGCAATGCAGCGGATTCTGCGTGCCGTCGTCATAGCCACTGTCATCAGCGTTGTCCTCTTCTACTCAGCTAAACAATTTGGTCCCATACCTACGGGCAATACGATACCTGGCCACGGTGATCAGCAGGATCCCTCCCAGCCAGAATCCCCGCCTGCGTCGAAGCCTGACGAGGCTCCGCCGTTGATCTCGCATCCGCCGTTGGGAATACCGACTCCAGAAGCGCCTAAGATACCGTCGTCGAGTACATCGCCGTCATCACCAACATCCTCGTCCTCTCCAGTACCTGCTGTAGGAACCATTCCCGGCATCCCTGGCAAAATATGGCAGACCTCCAAAGGTACAGACCTCACCAACGAGGAGCTCAACATGACCGATACTTGGCTCGCGAAGAACCCGACCTTCCGCCATGAGCGGCTCACCGACCAGGCGAGCGATAATTACGTGCGCAACCGCTACGCCGACCATCAAGACATCGTGACTCTCTACACGGGGCTCACCATCCCTATTTTACGTGCCGACCTTCTTCGTTATCTCATCCTGCTAGCCGACGGTGGCATATGGGCTGACCTCGACACTACTTGTGACCAACCCGTGAGCAGCTGGCTGCCCGCTGAAATCTACAATGCCAACAGCACCGTCAAGACCGGCCTAGTCCTTGGGCTAGAGCCTGATGCTGACCATGGCGGTAAAAAGGTGTTTACCAACGGGGTGTTCGCTGCCCAGCCTGGCTCTAAACACATAAAGGTCGTTGTGGATGACGTGGTGCGTGAGCTATACGATATCGCGAAGAAGAAGGGAGTTGGCCCAGAAGGCATCAAGCTTGAAATGATCAGTGACGTCGTTGAGGTGACCGGACGGAAAAAGATGACGGCGAAGATAATCGAGTCTCTGTCTAAAACTCTACAGAAGGAGATTGTCGACACGGACCTCACCAATGGCAAGGAGCCACAATATCTCGACGATGTGGTCATACTTCCCGTCCCCGCATTTGCCTCGTATGACGGCAACCCGAAGCCCCAGGGTGAAGTCCTTGTGACGCACCACCATGCGGGGACATGGAAGAGTGCCGCTGACGAGGCGAAAAAGAACCGTCAGAAACAGGAGGAGGAGGAAGCTGAAAGATTGAAGAAAGCAGCTGAGGAGGCGAGCAGGAAACAGAAGGAAGTAGACGACGAGAAGAAGAAAGAGGATGATAAAAAGAAGAAGGCGAAAGAAGAGGGCGAGAGGACACGGAAGGAAGAGGAGGCCAAGAAGGCCAAAGAGGAAGCAGAGAAGAAGGCAGAGAGCGACAAGAAGACGCAATCTTAAGCCAGAACGGACGAGCAGCCGAGATTTCTTGTCTCTCTTGTCATCCGCCATACTGCGTATACTCCCTACTTCGGACACATTCCCATACTTGCCCCATACTCGGGCCACACTTCGGCCACACGACCACCCTTCACTCCGGTATATGGCCAAGTGTACCTGCAGACAAACCGGTTATGGGTACGCCGATGTACGGTCCCACATGCCTGAGCATCTTCTGCAGGGGGGAAAGGGGTGCAAGGTGCCTTCTTTCATGCCAGCCGTAACGACGGCTGCAGGCCCTGGTGGATGTAGTTTTGTGTATCCTAATGACCGACGATGCCCCTCATACCATAATTAACCCCCCCTATCACGATATTTACTCTCCAACCATGGATCCAACCTCCTTACCGTCGTCTCCGTCAATATCAAATCCGTGTATCCACGTCTTCTTGTCTCCATCTAGATAATCACATGACTGGCTGAGTAAGACGATGAAACATCCGCCCTGTAAACAAACACCAAGCAAGGGGGCAACAGGAAAAACAAATAGACGGAGCATCCACGATTAATAGTTCAACAGTCCGCCAGTGACTAAGAGGGTTCGATCGTCCATCCACCGTCTATCCGTCATGAGTTGACACAGGTTCCCAAACCTCCTCAATTGCCTCTCCCCCGACTCACCTTCGGCCCCTATCTCGTCTCTCTGTCCCTCGGCTCTCACGAGCTTTCATCTGACTCCGCTCCGACCAATCGGGCGACCCTCTGCATAAGGATAGTACCAAGGGGATGGAGACAGGGTCGACTCGCATTCATAACAGCGCCGAAGGATGGACAGACGGCCAGAGATAGACACTTCGAGGTCGAGGTACTCTCTCCCTCCATCAAGCAACATCAGCCCCTTTCGAAGCAGATCGCCATCTCTAAGTCCCTCGCCACCGTTCAATACCCAGAACCGTCGACTACAGCTCCGCAACGCTAGGTTCCGGGGAGCGTTGCTTGCTTCTGCGTCTGCTTCCGCACCTGCGTCGTCCCCGAGACAACTGAGTCCTCCGCAGTCTCAGATCGAGACATGGAGGAGTGCATTGGGTGGTATTGACGACGAAGGCGAAGACAAAGAGAACGAGTTCGATTACGTTGGGTCGACGAGGGGGACAGGATATGAAGGATTGCATACCATTGCCAACACATCAACGTCTCATACTCGGCGGTCGAGTATATTGAGGGAGTTGGGGAACTCTACACAACGGCGGAGAGGACATACCCCTCGTGTATCGGTGTCATCTATATTCCAAACTCAGCCAGACTCTCCTCCATGGTCTGCATCGTTTGGCCGCCCAAAAGCTACTATAGGAGAACCGGAACTGGAACCGGAGCCAGAACCAGATCTTGACTGGGAGGAGAAGATGCAGTCTACTCGAAAGACGTCAGTGTCGTCACACAACAGTAGCACATTTACCAGTCTAGATCGTATAAAGCGGCCAAAGGGGCGGAACCGAGATGGCCGTCGTGACACGTCTCAGTACATTGAACACCTTGAAAATCAGCTTGCAGCAACCCTCCAAGATGCGGAGCTTGCTGACGCAAATGCACACGCTGCTCGATACAAAGCACTGAATGCCGAATACCGAATATTAAAACAACAAGTGACTGAATGGGAAGAAAGGTTTGAAGCTCGCGTGCAGGACGAGGAAACAGTGATGGCGGAGAGAGAGGCACAGCTAAAAGGGCGGATACGGTCGTTGGAGCGTGAGGTCGAAACGAAGGATAACAAGATCCGAGAACTCGAATGGGAGATTGAGAAGGACTCGCAGACTCTACGGACTCTAGAGGCTGTGAATGCTACGAATCGCAGCCTGGAGCGGAGAGTCGATGTTTTGACGGAGCTGCTCGCTCAATCGCCTCGGGTAGAACTGCCACCGCCTCCTACTACTACAGTAGTAGATGGTTCTTCAGTGAGCAATGGAGAAGCCATGTGCCGTACACCTCGGCCCAAGTCGATGTTTACAAAAATACCGCTATCGCCTGTCAGACAGCCTCTTTTCCAACCCACTGCTGAACCGGATGCTTCTTTCGTGGATCCATGCAAGCGGAGCGGAAATGAGGAAGACACTCGCTCCTTCGAGTTGGCATCCGTTGACTCAGGGTTTGACTCATGTTCTGGCCCGTCGCATTCGCAACGCACCTCCCTCCTCTCCAACCAATCCCAACCCCTATACAGTGCAGGATCAGGAGCGGGAGCTGGAACTGGATCAGTCACGTCTTTCCCCTTATCACCCGAACTTCAACTACAAGGAAAGCTGCGGTATAGAAACAGAAAAATGCGCCGCTTCCCATCTGGTTGCTGCACCTTGAAACCCCTCGTCTTACCTACCGCATCTGCTGCATTGTCACCGTATGCACCGCCAGTCACTTCCTCGTCACCCAACTCAATACAGCAGCAGCGATTGGCGCGATATTTCTCGACGCTACGGTATTCCAGGGCTGGATCGGGGTATGATGATTCATTATATGACGATGAGATGGACGGGGATGATGTCGATGTTGATGCGGCGAGAATAGACGCATTAGATTCTTTGGAAGGGAATGCAGCGCATTACCAGTCCTTTGAAGAGGCAATGGCTGGTCACGACTTGTCGATGGACGATATGGATGATCTGGCCGAGAGTTCATTTGCGGCCAAAAGTCTCTCGCCGAGCAGTGATACGATAAGCTATGAAGGAGGAACTGTTAGGCGCCGTCGTAACCGCAGCCGCAAATTATCAATTTTACGCAATGACATTGGCCCGGTTAAGCGCATAACATCAGCGAGACCAAACCCTCCCTCATGGCTCGAAAAGTTACACGTCTACATCCCACAGCTACTGGCTAACGCACGAACACTCACTCACCGTATCCTGACTAATGCCTGGCACTCCAACTGGCGCCGACTCGGTAGTTTATCATGGTGGTTCCTCGGATTACTGTTGGGTACGCACACGCGTAATCAATGGTTTAAACGCTCCACATTGCGAAATGCCAGATGCCGTGGCTATATCGGAGAAGAAGAGATGGAAGAGATATCAACACCAGTCAGCGTCAACCACCGACCAGACAACACGATGCAACTTCTATCAGGCTGTACTCCCACGATGCAAGAATGGCTCAAATTCTCCGTCACGTTAGTATTGGCTATCGGGCTCGCTGTGCGTGACGGGCCCGGTACATTGATGTGTCCATGCCCATTGCCAGAAGCAGATACTACCTCGAACGTAGACATGATGGCAGAACCAGAAGATTATCCACCATCAGGGAAGTACGGATCGATCCGTACCAGTCTATCGGTCCTGAGTCCAAGTCTACTTCCCAGGGATGGTTTTGACGACTCCCCTGATTGAAAACCCGAACCCCTGTTGCAGCACATATGCTACGCCCTAATGAGAAATGACCCTTTGCTACCTGCTTACCTTGCCCATACTGTACAAAACCATACAATCCACTCAAACACAAATCGCTCACAAGCATCGTCTCATCCCCGCCTAGCCAGTGCACTTTTCTACTGGTCGAAATTATCGATAGGTATGGATAAACTGGTATTGTGTTGATAGGTTAGATTAGATCAGCTTGCATTGGAGCAGGCAGTTTCTTGGATTAACAAATAATAAATTCTTTATTTTATTGTTTCCTGCTAGAGAGTCTTCTGAACTCGATACGTACAAAGTAGCTCCATAAGAGCAGCAGCATATCTAGCTACCACACCATGGAGAACTATTCAAAGGTGGCCCCTAAGAGAGTACCCTTAGTTAAGACTTACCCCTAAGCTTGCCCCTAAGCCTCCTCCTTAGCGCTCCGTTTTACCTTCTAGCTTACCCTTAGCCTTTAGGCTTGCCCCTAAGCTTGCCCCTAAGCTTGCCCAGGCTTAGTCTAGGCTTAGTCTAGGCAGCAACGGAGAAAGACTTGGCGATATCACGGGACTGTGGAGATGTTTACACCTCTTGCGGATCAGTTTCTTTAGTTTCTTTAGTTCATTGTTGGACCACAAGGGACAAAGAGACCTAGTGTCTAATGGAAACCACAGCACAGAGAATCTGATATTTTATGTTGCTATCCACGAAGCGGGGGCTGTTGGAGTGGAATCCAAATGGCTCGAGAAGCTGACAAGTATCAGCGCCTCTTTGAGGAGGAGAGAAGGCTCCGAGAGGAAGCTGAACAACGCTTGCATACCGTACAACAACATCTCCATGAAGAAAAGACAGCAGGCAAACGAACACGACAGGCCCTGGAAGCACTGGAAAGTAGAGTGAACCCAACAACTTTGGACGATTACCTGCGATCCTGCCATGATCTCTTTGCTGTACCGCTTAGCATCCAGCCAAATAAGTCCAAGTCCACTAAGGGCTCAATCACTAAACCTACTGGCCGCTACTGCCCGACCAATCTTCGCAAGTGGGATGACTTTCTTGATACGCTTGACGAAGTCTTTGGCAGGGTTTCCCGTTTGTTCTACCCACCCGGGAAACTCGCCATAGGGGCGTTCCCATCCGTTGAAGGCCTCAAGACCTTCGGGAATGTTGTCAGTCGCCGACCGCTGGCTAGCGAGCTTGATCTTATGAGCTACGAGCGATTTGCTGTCGAGACGCAGGTTTCGTCCATAGTGGAAGAGCTCCTGAAGCTGGATACCAATGAACAACTTCCTATCTCCGGGTCAGGCATCTCATTTGAAAATCATGCCAATACTCTAGACGATGAGGAGGAGCCGGGACCAGCGGGACCGAAACATCAGGGCTCAAAACCCCGGCCTGACCAGTTCTGTGTATATCGAAAGGATGGAGAGACTGAGACGCTGCTCCTCATCATTGAATACAAGGCTAGTCATAAGCTTCTATACTCCAGCTTGAAGGCTGGACTAGAACCTAAAAATTTCTGGGAAGACGTCGTGCAGAATTTTGAGATCCCCGTTCCTGATCCCGAAATGGGGGAGAAGGGGAAGGAAGAAAAAATTCTCCACAACGCAAGGCAACTGACGGGTGCTGCCATCACACAGACCTTTGATTATATGATTAAAGAGGGGTTGGAATACGGGTATCTCACTACGGGGGATGCCTTTGTTTTCCTTCGCATCAAGGAAGAAGACCCAACAACACTGTACTGGCATCTTACCAACCCAGAACAGGACGCGGCAGCCTGGTGCAATGGTTCTTTTGCTCACTCCCGGACGGCAATCTCGTTGGTGCTCTCGTTCTGCTTGATGGCAGTGAGTTCGCAGAGGCGAAGCCAGGAGTGGCGATCCAACGCATTTTCCGCGCTTCGCACCTGGGCTGTGGACGTTGAATATGTCCTATCAAAAATTCCGGAGGAGGAAAGAAGGCGAACGCCGTCCGTATCCTCCTATATACCTTCGAGCCCGCTCTCCAGCCCGTCCCCCAACCCAGACCCGAATAATCAGCCTCGACGATCACGACGGCTGCAAGGCTCTTGTGCGGACTCCGATGATCTTCCCAATCGTCCACCCTCGGACGACTCTGAAGAAGAAGAAGAGCCCGGCAACCACCACGAACCCAACCCGACAGGAAAACGATTCGCGGTTGTGATGTCTCCGCCGCGACCTCCACCATCGAAGCGACAGCGTAGTCCTGATCGGGAACCAAACCGTCGGTATTGTACACAACGATGCCTTGTCGGATTGGCCAATAAAAGTGCTCTTGACCTGGCCTGTCCCAATATCATGGTTCACCAACAGATGAGCCACGACGGCAAACATCCGATCTCCAAGGAGAGGGTTGCAACCTTGCTTGATGCTCAGCTGAATAAAGACCGAGATAATGGATGCTGGGAACTGAGGCGCGGCGGAGCTCGTGGCATCCTCTTCAAGATGACCTTGGCCGACTATGGGTATACGTTTGTGGGGAAGGGAACCATCGAAAAGATGATACCCCATCTCCAGCATGAATTTCAAGTATACGAGTATCTCAGCAAACTTCAGGGCAACTTGATTCCCGTCTGCCTGGGGCGTGTCAATCTCCAGAAGCCATTCATCACTGACGGCCTGGACTACATCGTTCACTACCTGCTCCTTTCCTGGGCTGGGGAGAGCCAAGATGATATGCTGCCTTACGATCTATGCCTAGAGCGAAGAAAGTTTCAAAAGGAACTACATCGGTACGGTGTGACCCATGGGGACCTTCGCGAGTCCAATATCACCTGGAATGAAGAGTTATCCCATACAATGCTGATTGATTTTGACCGAGCACGACTGGATAGGAAGAGGCCGTTGATCGGTTCGGGGTCTCGTGGCGTTAAATCCGGGAAGCGGAGGCAGGTGTCTAGCCCCTCTGGCTGAGGCAGCCATCTGCCATCTGCCACATATACCATTTATCCCTTTTTTGGATAGATACCCCCAAGCCCGTGTTCAGGACACGACATATCACAGTTTTGTGGACAGATTCTAGACGAAGCAAGAGATACCCTTTATCAATTTTTTATATATATGCAAGGATTACTCCAGGACATTTCTAAGCCCAGGCGGCTTTCCCGAATGAACCTACTGACAGGAAGGATAAAACTTGCCTTAAAATCGATGGTTAGCAACACTTTAAGGGTTTGATATCAATTTAATATAGAGACGTTATAGCGCCCGTTCTTCTCCTGTTCAAGTACTACAGCATAAAATGGATGCCTTCCAAAGGCATTAATAAGCCAGATCCGCTACATCTTGTTTAGCTTCATTCTTGTGGCCATACTAAGGGTTAATTAAAAGTCTACCACATAGTCCACCATTGTCAGTGGAGCTTTCGAAGTATTCCTGTCAAAGCATAGTTCCTCAGGTTAATAGGAAGTACCTTGGTATAGACAGGAAGGGGAGACTTGGGTTTATACAGTACAATTCGGCCATATTTCCCTAGCCCAATCTGCCTTTCGACAAGCACCTGCTTCTACTTATTTGTTGATGGTTATGACGATCCTAGTTCCCCTATTAGTCCTTAAGATTAGATCAGTCCAGCTTAATAAATAGAGAAGTCCTCCACTCACAGCAATGGATTAATTAAAGGTAAGAGGCCTAAATAGAATATCAAGCGACTCGGACATATTCCGCAGTGGTGATTGCAGGGCTACAGCTGATCGACATTGACCCTTGGGCTCCCTGTAGTGGACCAAGCTGATGAAGATGGAATTGGCTGAATAGCCCGGACAGAGCCATGAACAAGGGAGGGTTACCATCTAACTACTACTAGGAGCCTTAGAAAATGATATAAATAGTGTGCACCTTAGGAAGTTTCCGGGTTTCGAAGCTGCAGCTGGTCAAGGGTCTGTATCTTGTAAGTTTATATACCACGAGTCGGACCACGGCATGGGCGGCTAGTTAGTATTATGCTGGACCAAGGGATAAAAGGCCTAGTTTCCGATAGGAACGAGTCGTCCACAGCACAGAAATCTAACATGTTATTGTTAGCTACGCTCGTAGCCGGAGCAGCCCACGTCAATAATTTGCAGTGGTTGGTCCCGCCCGGCGGCAAACTACAGCCAACAATTGGAGAAAACAACAGGTCTTGAAACAGGTCTCACCAGTACAGGGGTTCAAGCCGTGCATTCACCAACATATATTTACGTACGTGCATTAGCTCCTTGGACGTTCATCGCCCATGCAGCACGCCTCATACCCAGGCCTGGGGCGGAGTGGTGATGTTGATATATAAAGAAGCGCCAGGCCTGATGTAAGGATGGCCTTCCATGCACTCGTTACTGTCAGCCCTTACATTTTATAATCATGGTGAGTAATTAAATTATGTCAGGGTTGAGATCTCCCTCGTCACTGCTAACTGATGTTTGCGTTAGGAGGTATACTACCAAGAATATGACCCAAACTGTGCACCCCAGGTTGGAGTCCCAGGCGGGTCAGACAAGGAAGCAGTAAAAGCCACTGTGTCGACGGCTGCTGTGTATAAACCTTCAAGGCTGTCGGATTCCCTTTCCCCTTCTCCACGGCCGTTCTGGAAAAGAAAACAGTTCGCTATTCCTGCAATAGTGTTGACTACGGTCTTCATCGCTGTTACAATTGCAGTTGGGCTAGTAGTAGGGCTTAGAAACGCCAAAGGGTATGTGACCTAAGCTGATGAGCATCGTGAGGTTTTGAAACCACGATCTTGAATATGGCATTCTAACATACTCACCAGAGCTACCTCTCCGCCTCCATCTTCTTCATCGCCATCATCATCACCAGACCGGCCAGGATATGGCGGCGGGCCTAATAAGCCGAAAACAGTAGACGACTCCTGGGCGTATAATGGAACGGCCATCTCGTCCTTAACATACTCGCCCGTAAGGGATCAGGATAGCGTCGGCACGAACTACGTCGTATTCTATCAACACTCCAATTGGGAGATCCGGCGTTCAACCTGGAACAACTCCCAATGGCATGATTCAAGTTTCGTCACAAGAGACGCCCACCCTGGCACCCCTTTAAGTTCCTATTGGGAAGGAGAAGGAGATGATATCCGGCTCAATCTGGTCTACGTCGACAAAAACAGGGTCCTTCAGGAAATTCGCGGGAGCCACTCCGGTAATGATTGGATTAATGGGACATTGGGAGAGTTAAGCCTAGTGGTTGATCCACAGTCAGCTATATCTGTTCAGTATGTCGGCGGATGCCGTGATGTCAACACTGCATGGCTTATATACCATGCTGGCAAGAATAACGAGGCACGAGTGCTTTATTGGAACGCGCGAACGGACAGATGGCTAGCGGGGGAGACCATTGAAGATGTATCTGCCACGGCAGGATCATCAGGCCAAGCAAGTGACGGTACTTGGAGATACTATTATGTTTCGAAGAAGACGCAACAGCTCAATGTGGTGATTTGTCCAGACTGTTGTTCAAAGCCCAATACAAAATGGGAACAAGGTATGATATTCACCCAACCGGCGGCCATCTAATATCCAACTTTAACACATATTTACTTTTCATAGATATCAATGGACCACAAGTGGCCTCAAAATACGGGGGTATAGCTGTGGCAAACGTTGGAGCACCACGTCTACTTTATTACTTTGATGATAAAGCAATCATCCGCGAATTAAACAACACCTATAAATATCCAGATGAGGCCTGGATAGAAGACGTCTCTTCAACTTTATCGGACGGGAATAGGGGAATGAAATCTGACACAAATGCCACGGTCGGCCCTGAGGGATACCGGGTCATAAGCTCTGTTCCCAATGGCCGTATGAGCATGGCTGCTGGCTTCCGGGGTAAAATTCAGCAGCTCTGGCTCTTTTACCAATCTAATGGGACTGACATCAAAATTTTGACTCGAGATGCGGATGCCGCGGGCAGGTGGAGCCCCCCGGCATCCCTCAAAATAGGGGGATAACAAGAGATTCATGCGATTTATCTTTATTTTATGCCTTTTAGCGTTTTTTATATATCATAGCTAATAAAATATAACTGTGCTGTAAATATACTTAATTATCTTTTTTCACCAGGGACAATAGAATTTGGTATTAGTCTGAAGTATTTAGGCAATTCGGCTCTTCGATACATAGTTTGAATAAGATGTGCGCATTAATTAATATATATTCCAATATATACCCAGTATTATGGATGAAATATCGCTATAAATACATTTAACTCGACATAAAATCGCAGTTCCTAAAGCTATATCCAAAAAAAAAAAAAAAAAAAAATAGACCCAAGCGCCCCCATGTCGGACATTCATTTCTGAGCACAAAGGCGATATTGTGTACGCGCAGAGATTTATCTCTGGGTGTGAAGCTGCTGACAAACATCAAACATGACAAAATATAGGCATCTTTCGCGATATCATTCAGTAAGGTTCCCATTTCAGACGCCGCTCCAACATAAACGATTCAACAGGCACCCCTCGCCATACCTGTTTCCCATCAACTTCTGTATAGAACTCAGGCTTGAAGCTCACCTCTGCCCAGGACCGTATGAGATGTCTCCAATAGCAAACTTCTGCCGCTGGAGTCAGGTAGTGATCGCGAAACGTTCTGACGTTATTCTCAGCAATCCGCCTTGCATCCTCGTCATGTTCTTCGAGCCAGTTGATCTTCTCATGTAGGTCAGACCAGTCTCTCCGCACCTCCACATAGTTTTGCTCGGGGCCGGAATTTTTCATAAGAGGGGACTGGTGCTGAATCCACTCCAGCTTATGAGAAACGATGACCGACCTGCAGCTCTGAAGATACTTTAAACGTCCAGAATAAGTATTTCCTTCAGTCTGAGCAAGGTATTTGAACTCGCAGTGGTCCGGCATCGACCTTAGGTCGTTCTTCATACTCTCGTTGTTCCGCCATATGATTGGCTTGACGTCTGCCCATGGCTGGTCTTTGGTGATTTCGACAAGCTTGTCACGTACTTCCAAGCCCATTGTAGCACCTCGCCAAAACAGTCTGGGAATCTTCTTTGTCCACGGCCAAGCCTGCTCCGCAACTTCGGCTTTCATCTGAACTTCTTTCATACTTCCAACTTTTGTTTCTGGCCAGGACCAGTATCCAAAATCAGGCATAAGCCATATATATTTATCTTCCTCACGTCGCGCATATCCCCATTGAGTGATTGGGTCAACCCGATCGTCGGTATTGTAAACAAATTCGATATTTGGTAGAGGTTCGGGAGAAGTCACAATGGCGCGATGTAGGGCATGCAGGGTCGCAAGTTCTCGGGAGTATATGGTTCCATTATTCTTGATGACATAGAGCTAAAGCAATAGAATATATATTTAGCTTAACGAGGTATTTATTTTTTGGGATAATAATAGGTGCTAGATATAACCTAGTTGTTTATGAAGGAAAGGAACGGAACCCTTCGAATATATTAAAAGTCTCTTACTTGTTGATCATATATCATAGCGCGAACATAGCCATTCTTGATTGTTATAGAATCGATTTCGTCCAGGCGTATATGTCGATTCGCCCTCTCCCGCTTTGCGCGGTCAACCTCAGCAAACAGGCCAGGAAAAGCAGACTGGCAGCGAGCGGCATTGAGTATCAGCGTATTCGCATCCCGCTTATAGTCCCATTGAGTATTATGATGCGGACTGTGAGTTGGCGGTGTTGGTCTTGAATAAGTGCGCTGTTGGTACCAGAAAAGTAATACAAGCGCTAGAAGGAGTGTTGTTCCGAGAATGCCCCGACGGTGCATTATAGCTGCGGATATTGAATGAATGTGACCCTTTGTGTCCATCTTCTGCGATTATATCACGTAGAATGGAGCCTCAAGGGAGTGAACGATATCATCCTGTCAGGGGCCGGAATGATGATATGAATTTCATAAAGCGCGTAGGTCATGTGATCTTATGTCTGCCTGATGGGATTTCTATTTATCCAACTCCGTTACTCTACACAAATCCCAGTCCATAACTACGGAGTACTCGGCTTCCAGCTTGGCTCTTCTATGGTCTCTGGCTCCTGTGTCGTGTGCTTCCAAAAGACTTAAGCAAGCAGAGTTGCGGGAAATAACTAACACCGCCCTTTGTCTTATACTGCTTGCAGGGAGTAGTATTCAATCAATATGCTTGGAGCCTCAAGTTTGGTGTCAGCTATTTTGTTAAATCCGCAGCTTCTAGGACAAAGGTCTACCTCACTCATGGTGATAATTGATGGAGATGAGCCCTCCAGCGCAGAGCACTTTAAACTAGACCCCTCGGCGGTCGACGGGCGAGAGCTTGACTGGTGATCGAAGTATAATGGCTTATTTACTTAAGCTAGACGGAGTACGTTCTGTCACTCTAGAGTTAAATGGTTATTCTGACCCATGAAAGCTTTCGTGGCCTGATAGGGGTTCATATTGCGGTTCCCGCTGGGAGTTACCGCTAGCCTGCACGGTGTATATGGTAGGCATCCTACAGGTCGACCATGGGCCTGTTGTCTGGGTGCAGTGGCATAATGCCGTTGTTAGAGAAGATGTAAAGATAATGGCCAGCCCCCACCCCTGCTAGCCTCATATATATTCAAATACCAGCCACGTCAGCTTGGGGAACTCTAGCTGTTGCGACACAGATTCAGGGAGGTTGATTGGCGGGTTAAACCTGTGGCGTCAGCAGCTTTACATAGTAAGTTCAGCCCTCATAGAGTGTGATCTTGCTATTATATTAAAGGCTGAACTCCTCGCAGGATGTTTAAAAGCAAGAAGCAGAACAGGCTATTTTCTCGTCTTCTCTCATAACTAGTCGACTATCAACACAGATAAAAGATCAAGATGTCCCAGCAAGGATACTACCAGAACGCTCCTCAGCAAGGGTATGTCTTCTACTGTTGCGTGCCGGTCCCTTGTGGGATCGTGATACACCGATATCCGACGGTCCTTGCGTGACCGAATAAATGACTGAATATATCATAGGTATAACGGCGGCTACCCTCAGCAAGGCACTCCTCAGGGCCCTCCTCCTGTATGTACTAGCCATATCTACATACATGTTGAACGTTGACCCTTGCGCGACAACAAGGGCTATATTCACAATCCTTTCTTTATACTCAGCATATATTTGGCCATACTAATATTGCGGTCTTTGTTGCCGAACGTAGATGCAATACCAACAGCCACAGCCACAGCCGCAGGTTGTTGTTCAAGAGAAGAAGGATAGAGGCTGCCTCTACACCTGGTCAGAACCCCAAATTTTAGCACACAAAATATGTTTGTCTCCTTCAAATCCCATCATCTAACATTTCTCTCCTCTAGCCTTGCCACTCTCTGCTGCTGTTGGCTCTGTGGGGAGTCCTGCGACTGCTGTTGTGACATATGTTGCTAAGCATATCCCTCCCAGCGTAGTTACGCTCTAGAAATGTCACCATTATGTTTCTTCAGCCATTCTATGTTCAGAATGTGCCTGATCTACTACGACATGACGATACGTCCGCTTTCGGTCACCCTTACGACTCTTTCTCATGGTTTTCATTTCTTTTCTTATGATCTCCCTTCCGCGGGCTCTTTTTGTTGATCAATCTGCCCTTTGTGAGGTTCCCTAGCCATGGTTGGCATTCCTTGTGATTAGTTTCGAATCATATCATTGAGAGATATTCTATGCGAACTTCGGAGCTTTCTCTGTAGTAGTTAATGCATGGTTCGCCCTTGTATTGATGAAGTCGGTTTCTAAGCTGTCTCCTCTAAACAGTGGCTGTAGAGAGTAGATAGGATACTTCGGGAAATGTAGACACCTAGCTCTTGCGATGTATATATTTCACGTAGGGTTAAAAAGAGTTATGTGCCTCTTTGCTGTCGGATATACTTAGCAAAGTTGAAGCTACAGCATCCGTAGCCATTTTGCTTGGATGATGGAGTCGCAGCGTTTAAAAGCACAATGACAGGGTTATTATTGGCCCTTCTTTACGGGTTAAAATAGCGCATCACTCAGGCACATGCTAGGGCCAAATCACGGCGCGTAGTTCTTTTCTTACGTCAAGTCTTGCTTAACGTCCGTAGAAAGGTCAAGGGGTACGTCAGACGGTTACTTCGCCCTCTGACTTCGCCTTTCACTGGACAAGAATCAAATGAAGTTCGAACATTCAATGCTGCGGATAATGCAAGGGCAAGGATCTAGAGGTGGACAGTTGTTGAATACCCTCTCATCGCCTCACAAGGAGAGTGAATCCATAGGTCGATAGGCTCTGCTCTCTGTATATGATCTTCCAGGGAAAGGAAAACGCGAGAGGCCTTTGAATAAGCGCCGCTATTCAAGCACTGCTCCTTCGGTAAAACTATTTAGACTCCAATGTGTATGCCTGACACTGCTACGATGGAGAACCCGGTGGTTGAAGGGACTTTGACTCTTGCCGCCTAGCTCCTGCAAGACGGCATTTCGGCCCGGAAAAAGGCACATTTCTCTAGAAGATATGGATGCTACGGTAGGAAGATAGGAAGTTTTCCGTTTTTTTTCTCAGTTAGTATTATCTTCAGGATGATGGTCCAGTGGGCCTTGGGACCCTAGAAGAGAAGGCTATAAATATAGCCGTCTGTATACGCATAGCCATCTATAGAACTTCCCTGGCATTGATGATGGATATCGAGTAGGAGACCCAACGTTGAGACTATATTCAGCGGGAGCTTTGATTCTATCAACGCAGGAATCCTGGAAGATATCCCGGAAGTGTTCTCGAGCGTTACCATAAACACCTCCGGCTCAAGTTTATTCAATATCCACTTGATCCTATAGGCAGGACATCATAAATATTGCTTCTTCAGGGACACCAATCCTGAATGGCTCCTGGTGTACCGTGGGGAAGTACCAGTCACTTCAGATACATATGTTATGGCCTTTAATGGTTGTGATGGGGTATACTGTAGCTCAGACCATAGGAATAGTTCAAAACCCGTCTTGTTCAATAGCGTCAAGTTTGGACCACATCATAAGTTCTCCAGCTCCTTTGCTCGAGGTTAAACCCTCTATTGGCTTGCTTTAAGTTGCTGCCCGCCTCAATATCAAGGAACGGCCTGGGTTGATGTGTCCTTGGTTGGTATGTTTTCGGGTATCATGCTAGGAGCTCCTACACTACACAGTGGAGGTTCCTTGCTCGTTTTCGAAGCGATCACTGCTATTTGTGGCTTCTGACATCTAGATGCTTTGGAGGAATTAAATCAAACGAGGTACCATGGGACATATCGCCTACGGTGTACTTTGGCAAGTCAGGAGAGACCTTTCACAGGACCACAACATATACAAAGTACGTTCACGTTGGGCTTGCTCTGGTTGGAACCAACATATCCAAGCCAACTGAATTTAAAGTAGATTTGGCGTCCGGTAACATCATTCGGCAGGTAATGTTTCTACTGAAGGTGGATGCATCATAGATGCCCGTGTTTATAAACAAACTGCCCTGACAATGCGACAACCTGCTGCACCCACTGTAGCAGACTGACTGGTTACCTGGTGTTTCTCGTAGTCTGACTCTAGACTTTCCCCAGTTATCGCTGTTGATGTATCTATCTTACCCCTCAGTCTGCTCCCCGCTCCGTTTGAGAATATGGTATTCTAGGAGTTTCAGTAAGGCGACAAGTTTCGACCACTTCTAGCTCGTTTTGTTTGGGTATTAGTTGGAGAACGAGCGAGCTGTTAACTAGCTGGTAGTTCAAGAGTGAATCCTTGAACTAGTCTAGTTAGACATGAGTCGCTAGATGTTGCGGTAGTCACTAACGGAGGTATCCTATATCACGGGCTATGATAGAATCCGCGACGAAGTAGAGAGTAACTACGGAGCGTGCACAAGCTACCCTAGCTCAACTCCGTCCCTCGCTCCACGGGCAACACAGAGCATATCCAGGGGTAAGCTGGACAAAAACAAAACAGCCATCTTCCTGCTTAGGTACATGGGTATATGTGCGAGTTTCACATCACGCCATTTCACGTCGCTTGCAGCTGACTTTGCAGACGCATGCACATCGTCATAACTGCCAACAGAAGTGAAACGATAGCTGACTATCGCGATCATCATACGGAGCATTTCCTTTCCCGTTCGCGGACCAATACGTCCAACCAGGAAGTCAACTGCATACGACTGTGCCGCGGCTGTGCCTTGCCTGTGCGAAGGGTCTGCGCCTGAGCTGAGCTGCGGGGAAGATCGGATAGTTTAGAGCCTCTCGTTGAGAGATCGGCAGGGCCAAGGTTGCGATCGACAAGCAAGTTAGAATAGAAAGATGCACATCAGGTCGTTGCGAAAAAGGGGCTGAACGCCATATATGTCATTGAGGTGCAGGATAAGGTTGTCAGGTTAAGCTTATTTGTGTACGACGTGAGACGACGACGGATGTGAACGACGCGAACGGGTTGGATAAGACATGTTAGATGAGCCAAGAGGAAGAGAGGTGAAACGCGGGTCGCGGGAGATTAACCTATAGCTGCCGAGATATGGCAGGGAAGTAGAAGTGGAAGTAAAGTGAAAGAGTGAAAGAGGTAGTAGGTATTATATTATATACACGTACATACGGGATATTGACATCGAAGCAAGCAGACGGAAGGAAAGCTCTTTTAGTCCATCATAAGAAGGGAAACAGGCAAGCTGTATTAAGTACGAAAACGCTCCTAGGAACGGGACACGAAGTGAAGTTTAGACTGTAGAAGAAGAAGAGAAAAAAGGAGGAGAAAGGGAAGGGTAATATCATCGCACGGTTCATGAGGCTGTTCTTGTCTCTAATACATAATGAAAATATCAGGTATTGATTTACAAGGCGAAAGCAGCGGCGATGGCGAGGAGGGCAGCACCGACGCCGCCAGAGACGCGGCCGGCGCCGTTGTTGAAGGGAGGAGTGGTGGTGGTGGCACCTGGTGGTGGTGGTGGAGGGACGCCGGTTGGGACGCCGGTGCCGGTTGGGTGAGGGACGCCTGGAGCCTGAGTCTGAGTGCTGGATGGTGGGCAGACGGAGGTGGTCAGGGTGACGACGCCGGTTGGGACGGTGGTGCCGGTGCCGACTGGGACAGCGATGTGGGTGACTGGCGCGGTTGGCTGGCGGCCGGTCCAGGTGGGAGTAGCGGGAGCAGATGGCTTAGGCTGGAGGGGAGTGTCGTTCTTGACGCCGAACTGGGTGCTGTACTGGTACTGGCCGGTGCCCTCGACGATGATCTGGATACCGTAGTGGGTGACGTCGTTCTCGAGCGAGGTGGAGGGAATCCAGTTGAAGGTGCCGGTGTTCTCGATGGAGTCGGCGAGAGTAGCAATTGGCTTGACGTTGATGGATGGGCCGCGCAGGAGCAGGATGGAGATCTTGCCCTTGGTGGTTGGCTTCCAGGTGATGGTGAAGGGCTTGCCGGCTTCGACCTGCTGGTTGAGGCCGGGCGTGTAGATGATGTTGCCGGCGGCTGGCTTGGACACGTCTGGAGGCGTGACGGCCGAGACGACGGCCGCGAAGGCAGCGACGATGAGAGTGAACTTCATTGTATCTTAGAGGGTCGGTATAGAAGTATCGAGGGTATAGATTGGAAGTAGAAGAGGGTATAGAGTAGAAGAGGAGAAGTTGAGAGAATAAGTAGAAAAGAAGAGAGTAAAGAACGACGAGCCTAAAGAGTGACTGAGTGGGTGACTGGAGAAAGAAGACTCAAGGGTATATCGCGAAAGATATATATTTATATGGCTCCAAAGGGGAAAAGAGGCTGAGTGACCCCGCGAGGCTGTTCTGTTGCCGCATCGGGACTAGCGCTGGGCCTTCGTGAAATGAGCAGACCCACCCACATCAGCCAATCAGAGGACGCAGAGGGACCCTTGCCAAAGTCACTCCTTCACTAAGTTCCTGCACTATACCTACCTATACCTATACCTATACCTTTATAGAGGGTGATATATGGTATATGTATGGTAGATGATGATGGTAGATAGTATGGTATGTACTCCGTAGTATGGTAGAGGTATATGGTATGGTATATGGTATGGTATATAGTATGGTGGTAGTATGGCGAAGAAATTGGAAGCTCCTGGCATCGCGTACTCGCAGCTGCGATTGGCCTGCTGCTTCCTTCGCGCCCGGCTTCCGGTTGGCCTGCCCTAGCACGGAGTATGGAGGAGACCTGCGTTAGACATGCGTTAGACATGCGAAGAGGTGACTGGGCAGCTGGTAAGTTCATGCCCCTTTCGTTTGCTGCCGGCGCTCCGTCCATACCCACTCGCAGGTAGCATCGAGATATAATAAGGCACAGGAACGGGCGTTAAGGAGCTACCCAATTGACATGGTTATTTATAGGGTCGCATGCAACAGTCGTATTCCTCCCAGTCTAGGTAGAGACTTAGTGTATAGCTGTGTTGCGGACTGTGTGCGACCGCTTGTTTCGACGGAGCATTCTCTCGTATATCATATGGGTACGAGGCTGGCAGGCTGAAGTCTGAGATTTCGATCGCCGGAACCAGAGCTGCTCATTTCCGCACCACGGCAGCTCCTTTCCTGCTCTCGTTCGTCTGTTCGTCTGTAGCTGCCCGAGCCGCTCGCCGCGTGCCGGCCGTCCTTTGCCATTTTCCTTTTCCTTGCCCTTCCGCCCTTCCCTGCGCCTGGGTTATCTCAGTTAGTACTTAGTTTGCAAGTTAAGACATGGATGGGTTCGAGTGGACAGCTTGCTCTTGCGCTAGCAGGTGGTGTCATTTTAGTTTTCTCTCTGTGCGCGCTACCACCTTACCGTTTTCCCTGTCCTTAGCTGGTCGTTCGTTGAGGGTCGTTGATGCGGCGCTGCGATGCGACGACGTTACTCGTTCAGACCCTCGTTCGTTCAGGCCCGATGCATAAAGTTACATGGCATGACAGCAGGGGAGTAAGTATGACATTCACTCCCTGCGAATAGCACAGGAGATATTGCTCGCTTCGGTCTTCGAGTCCTTCGCGTGGTTGTTCATCGTTCATCGTCGGTTCTTGAGAAGTCGTTGGTTTACGTAAGGTACATTGCCGCTTTCAGCCTTGGACGAGAAAACGTCCGACGAGAGATATCAGTTCATGCCATTATTATTATCTAGTGTATGGATGAGGTATATCTAGTGAGGTATAGTGAGTATAGTGAGGTACCACGTCGGAGTAAAGACAGATTAGGTGCAGGAATATTACATGGCCATGTCTATATTTACGTACATACATGGGTGAGCATAGACTACTGGTTGCGATGGATATATATCTCTCGGACTAAAGCAGGCACACACCGGTCTTCGCTCTTCGCCCTTCGATTGACTCGATCGGGAAGCCCGGATAGAACAAGAGTTCAGACAGCTTTGAGGCTCAACGTCTGCCTCCCTGCCCAATAGCGAGGTCAGCTTCATGCGATGCCATCGGAGACCAGAAGGGGGCATCCACCGACGCTTGGATGTGGTGGGAATTTTCCAGATCATGCGGTTACATCGCATCGTCTGCCTTGGCTTGCAGTGCGTCCATATATCCTGGCTTGGATCGAAGGAGCTCGATGGATGTATAGCTGTATACTCCGTAGATGTATATGTCGGTCTTGCGTCGGCTGGGATCGCCGGCAGCGATGTTGAGACATCAATCACTTGACCGTCCTGGGATTGGACTGATGTCGGTACATCGCAGACACTCCCCCTTTTCATGCTGGATCGGTGGAAGCCTGTTTATCGCGCGATGAGATGGAAAAAGCATGGACATCGCACACTTCTAGCACCGGTATGGGTATCTTGTTAGGCCCGAGTAAAGGGGATAGGCTGATTCTCACCAGCCACATCGAGTAGACAGCTCTGCCTTTCAGCGTCCCTATTCTACCAGGCCATTCATCTTGCCACGCAGGCTGGTTGGCGGTTACGACTGCCCGTAGTCGTCGCCAACGCGACAGCTGCGACTAGCTCGATCATGCTAATTGCAGTCGCTATGCATAGGGCCCGAACTCGTCGCTATCAGCGTGCTCTGGCCCTGCTTCCTCAATGCGTGGATGTCCTCGCTCAATCATCTTCTTGCAATGCAAGCGAGAGTCAAGAAAGAAAATCCTCATTTCCGGAATCTCCGTGAGACTCGCTGTTGCACCGTCAACAACCACATCTTATTCCCTACGAGCATATCCCCTGCAGCGCAGTTATATGGTCTCCCCAGCATCGCTAAACAACACAAGAATTGGCATTGTTTCAATTCCAGTGCTGAAACTGCCACATATTCCTGCCCATATATATCATATCATATCGCGGTTTCGACAGGTTACCTCAACGGTCGTTTTGGATCAGTCTCTTTTTCCCACGGCGCACTCTGGCGGTCTAGAGCTTGAACTTATTCTCGAGCTATAACTCTTATTTATTTATAGGTGAACTGGACTGGTGCGATACGAATCTTAACCGATGGTGTTTCAAACAGTGATCATGTTTAGAGTTGCGAGAACCGCCACAGGAGTTCGACGAGAAGAAACACGAGCCAATGCCCTACTTCCTTCGTTCCACCAACCATAGCAAAAGCTGATTCGGGATCGTTTTACGCCCCTTAACCCAGCTATGCTCGCCCGTCAACTTTTATTCACTATATATGCCTTCGCGTCAACCTTTATTCACTGTATATGCCTTCGCGTCAACCTTTATTCACTGTATATGCATTCGCTAGTCCATCGCGCTCTACGAATTCTTACCATGAAGCTTCTTCTGCCCGCCAGACCCATTCACCCTATGCCTGTAAGGCACGAGGCAGGAATCGCCGGGAGCCTCGAGGTGATCCTTCAGGAAACAAGCCCTATGCGGTGTGCCTACGTACTGCAACAAGAGTTTTTCGTGCCAGGATTCACCTAGCGCCGAAAATTCAAATAAGTCTTAAACAGCCTTATTATTTATTAACTATATACTCTTCTATCCTAGGTTGAGGTCTGCAAAAGCTTTCTCCCATAGAGAGCAAGCTCTCTATTGGCCAATTTGATGTTTGATATCGGGCTTGATCAGACTTAATGAGGCCAATTTGACACTAAATTGGGGCCGTCCGGCCGACAAACAGCTCTCGATATGGGCGCCAACGCTCTACTTATGTATAAAGCCATCATTCAGCCAACCTATATAACGCCAAACAATTGGGGGGGTCCCCTCAACGAATTAGGTAATTTAGAGAGGACCCCACTCCATATAAACATACCAGTTTGAGCTTGCTGGAGACCTACCCTTTTGCGCTGAATAGTCTCACTTTGCTTCGATAATAAGAATATATATATATATGCATAAGCTCTATTAGACCCTTCCCTAGTTAGTTATACGACCAAGGACAACGACAGAGATAAGTTAAGCCGCCCTAGTTGTTAGTTAACGCTAGGTACAGAGTAACTAGGGGTGTCACCAAATTCGCTAACACAGGTGGTTGTGAGGCCGTGAGGCTTAAAGGTACTATAATAGATATATAATGGCTAGAACGTAGTGGTATATATTAATAGAAAGCGAATCACTAACTTCTAGATGGGAAATTAGACTTTACTAGATAATATAGAAATCTAAAGGGTTAAATATATAACCTTAATATTAGAAGTTATATAGAGGCCTTATAGTTATATAGGAGGCCTCTAAATATACTAGGTGAGGTCAAAAGCAAGAGCTTTCTCCCATAGAGAGCTGGCTCTCTATAGTGGCCGAAGCGATGGTTGATATCAGCCTTGATATCAGGCCAATTTGATGCTAATATCCAGCCTGATATCGGGCCAGGTGGGTGCTGGATATCAGGCTTGATATCGGGCCCCCTGAGTGTTGGATATCATGCTGGATATCGGGCCAATTTGATGCTGATATCCAGCCTGATATCGGGCCCCCTGGGTGATGGATATCCTACATGATATTAGGCCCGTTGGGTGTTGGATATCATGCTGGATATCAGGCCAATTTAATGCTGATATCCAGCATGATATCAGGCCAATTTACCAGGGATAATGCAAGGGACTGAAAACTCTTTTCCCTGTAGTTTGTGAATAATTATCACCACCCATATTTTAACCAACATCAGTAGACATCTCTTACTCGCCAATTATGGCACAAGGGCAGGGGCGCATAGCTAGGAGTGGTTATGCCCGATGTGTCGAGCCAACCACTGCTTATATAAGTACCCATGTTGGGTGCAAGACTCTTCTCCTGACTCTCTCTCTTCATCCTTGAGCTCATCCCACAACCATCATTAATCAAACAATCAAGCATGGCCGTCTTCTTATTCCCTGTGTATTGTCTCGGCTGGTTGCTTCTACTTGCCTGCAGCAGGGCTATGAACGCCCCTACCCCTACATACCCGCAGACTGTGGAAGTGGACTTGATATTTCCGCGAAACGAGACCTACGCGCCTGTCCCGCTCACTCCCTTCGTTTTTGCTGTCCAGAACTTCCACGTCTCTAAACCGCTCTACCTACACTTCTCCTATAGTGTCGAACAGGACCCGTACATCGATGCCCCATCTGCAGGTGGCCATCTGTATCTGGATAAGGCCAACTTCTCTAGCAGCGACCCTTATTTCATATACGGCTGGACTCCCAAGCTCAACAATACCGAGGCCACATGGAGGTTCATCTGGGAATGGAGTGCAGGGAACTGCTCGAGATCTAAGAATCCAGTAGAACCCTTAGAATTTGGAAGTGTTGGCAGGCGCAACATTATCCACTTTACCACCAAGAACGGAGCTAAGCAGCTAGATCTCGTTGCTGCAACGCAAGATGGTACCTGCGATAAGTCACAAGCGCATACCCTGAATATCACGGAGGTATTGGATGTCCCTTCGGGGACTAGATACTATAACAACCAACCCTTATGCCCGTTACTTTCGACTATAACGCCAACTCCGGATCCCTGCGGGGCCAAAATAGATTCTGCGGCGGCATCGAGCATTTCATATGCCATTCAATCCAGTGCGTGTATAGGTGGTGCCAGTCCAAATGTGACCTGCCCGCCTGGTGTTGAGCCATGGAGTTCGGCACGGCGTACAACTGAGTTTTCGACAGGGGCAGTATTGTTGGTAGCTACTGTTGCTTGGCTTATTCACATGATATGATGGTTTTTTTTTACACTGTACATACCTGTTGCATAACTATCTCTGAATTTGCCACTGGCAACTTATGGAGAAATACTCTGTGTCCTAGATGTATATATCACGCCTATATGATGCTACCAGCTATACAAATTCGTTCAAATTACTTTAAACCATCATCTTTGGTTATCCATGATCCCCATTCTATATATAAATTATATTTTGCGTATGACTGGTCAGGACTAGGCACCCATATAACTGGGGGCAGACGAAGCAGGGTATATCTCTATATGGACGGACTACACTGGACAGCCTGCGGGATAAGCTAAATGATGAACAAAGAAGTCTATCTGACATGAAACATGGCATCAGGTCGCCAAACTCCAAGAAATCCCCCAACCAGCTGCCCTGAAACCTTTCTTCTCGTGCCTCGCTGATGGCTCTCCAACTCTCGACGCTCTGATTAAAAACTAGGATCTCTCAGGTTCGTCTCCACAGGTCTAGAAAGAGAATGATCCTTCATTAACATCAATAACCTACAGGTTCTTAATACTCTCTATTAATAATCAGTGGCATTCCTCCATCATACCAGGGAAGCAAAGGATAAGGATATATTAGGAAAAATCTAGATATCTATCTCCTTACTTCCCATAGCCCATGCTTCTGCAGCGGCGATAACATTCAACGTCTCCGAGCAGTTCGTTGCCCCTGCACGTTGTGTGGCCCCTGATTTGCTATTCCTCATAAACATCCATCCGAAACTTAGAAATCATTTCTTCAGCGGCATGTTTCTCATCAGGCTGAGCTCTAACTTCCCTTTCCGTCACCACCGGATAGAAGGGTTCATCGCCTAATCCGTGGCGGGGACAGGTGTATTCATTTGAATCTACCCTTATCCATGAAGTGGTCTGGACTGGTTGTAAATTCTATTCCGATGATTCCTAGCCAACAGCATTGAATGATAGGCACATACAACAAACGGCCATGTTTGCTTTTCGCGGGGTAATGCAGCAGAAACACGAAAGAACACCCTGGATAGGTTCCATGCTGTACGAGGGGTGTTGAGAAAAGAGCTATCTATCTGTTTATTAATCTTTTAAAAGGCTAGCGAGGCTGTTGCGTAATCTTCACAGCTTCACTATGAAATACCCTCGACGGCCAATGCCCAGATTGAGCCAAAGTCTCTTTATTGGCACCTGTGACTCTTTCAGTCGACGTATTCTCCCTCATCTGGAGGGGTTTACAGCATGAGGGGGAGGGGCAGGGCATGATATCGGATGCTGGGTTCACGCCAGATGAAGACGAGGGCTTCATCGGGCAGATATAAAAGGCCTGGGAATCCCTTCCCTCATCCAGCTTCTATCAAGGCACCTCACTCATACCCTGAGAACAATTCACTTGTTCATACAAACTAAAACCCAACGGCTATTCGCTCTTATCTGCTTCTTTACATCAAACATCCTTCAGTGCCCATCACGATGCCTGAATTATATCTCCCCCCCAAGGAAATATCTTTCCGTCTCAAGAGCTCGGTCACCAATTACGTCTTGTATTCTCGAGACAAGAATGACCCTACGTTCTATCACTACGGAGGAGGCGTTGCTGATGATCAGTGGTGGCAGCTTGTACCAGGAACCGGAACATACAACGGCTACTACCTGATCAAGAGTAAATACACCGGCAAAGTAATCTTCTCCAGGGCGTCCCCTGACCCCAGGGTCGGCCACATTGGTGGAGACGGGATGTATGCGGATAACTATTTCAAATTTGAAGAAGGCTCCGGCAAACACAAGGGCCAGTTCCGCGTTCGCAACTATTCTTCAGACATGGTCCTCTTCTCGCGAGAGTCCCAAAGCCCATATTTGGGAAACTACAGCGGCACGGCTGGCGTATATGACGACCAATACTGGTTTTTCCATTTCGAGGACATGACTCTTAACCGAGTTGAATATAAGCTGGACCAAGGACAGATTATTGCCTCTAATACCGAGACCATTGGAACGGAATCGGTCACCAATGGTTCAGACATCAACCAAACCGTCGAATTCGAGCTTTCCGATACAAAGTCCACCTCCACCAACTTCGAACACAGTCATGGCTTCACAGTGGGTGTGGAGGTGTCTGGGAAAGTTGAGATCCCATTCGTCGCCGAAGGTGAGCTCAAAGTCTCTGCCTCTACTACCCATACCTGGACATGGGGTAAGACAGAAACCGAGAGCAAGACCTTCACATCCAAATTCTCTGCTGCAGCCCCGCCTCACAAGAAGGTTACTGCGACGGCTAGCATCACTAGAGCCACAGTCGAAGTGCCGTACACCATGTATTGGAGATCTGTTGCCACAGGGAACGAGGTTTCTAGTTCCGGCACATACCGCGGCGTTACCTTTTGGAATCTTAGCAGTGTTGTCAAGCAAACGGACATTTAGGGGATGATAGCTCTATGTAGGATGGGGTAGGCAATATGGGTTTAAAGGGAATGACTCGCGTCGGAGATTATGGTAAAAGGCTTGGTTGCGAATAGGACGGTTCAACATTACATTTATATAGCGGTTCAACCCCTATATAGTTTCCTCATGTAATTATTCTGCAGATTGTGGCATACACACTGTAGTTACCAAGTGTACGATTTATTGCTGTATGCTAACTCTGGAGCGTCGAATATAACGGTTAGCATGATTCTATTCATATTTGTCACTGCCACGTTCTATCCACTATGAATCGAGAGATCCTTAGGATATCTAGGCTTCCCTATGAGGTGGTTAGTGCAATAAATCCAATATACACAGGCACATCCACATCTAGCTCCCGCTCCAACCAGTCGTAACTCTCAGTTCATTTCTGAGATAAAGCACTGCTCAGTTCAGGGTAGCGTAACGCTTCTGGTTACCAGGTATCTTCCCAACGAATCGCGATAACTATCAACGTCTGTACGCGCAGTGCATGCCATCTTATCTCGCCCTGTACCAGAATTAACGGGCGTCTAGTATACAACATGTCGGAATGGCTGCAAATAATATTTGAATCAAAGATAGGGGTTGACCCTCTAGGGACCTCCTGAGGCCAATATTTTACATCTTTTCGCACTTGACAACATAGTTATCAAAAACTAACTTCCCGTTTGGAAACCTCCACAACTATGGAATTAAAAATTAAACGATGCTTCCAATAAACGCGCCATTTCGTCCGTCAATTCTACCAAATAAAGACCTCACGGCATCTTTTTCTTAGAGCTCATACGTCTGCAACGGAATTTTCCTTTATCTTTGGGATTAAATGTATGGAGTCCTTCCGTCCATTCCGTGCTTTATCGAAGAGCATCAAGTACCACTTCTTGCTATCGGTATATGATAGACAGCGCGCAGTTCTGGGAAACAAGTTTTATTAAGTAGATTAACACCATCTTTTCTCTATCGACTGATGTACGCTAGTTGTTAATACTAGAGTATCATGCATCCTATTTATCGGAACACCCCAATTCCCTTGGCTAATATCGACCTCAAGTACCAGTTACAACTTACAAATTGCGCCGCGCAGATTTTCAATCATGTCGAGATTTTTCTTTACCGGTCCTAATGCATCAAGCTCGCTAGATTTCAGGGACCGTCTCGAATTGGCGGCCTTCTTAAACCCGCCTCGCCCAACACCAGCCCCGGCCAAGGCGCCAAAGACGCTCAAGAAGGCACTTTCGGGGTGAGTGATGATGTCGTGCAACAGCAGGCCTGCATCGCCAGCCGTACCGAGCAGGCGGAGTATGGAGCGAACAGCAGTTAAACCAGCGGCGCCGGCGGCCTGTCCTGCAATAGGGACGAAGAAGAGAAACCCTGTGATAAAGCTGATAATCATCTCTTCACGCTCTTTCTTCTCGATATCCTTGGCAGTTTCGGAAATCTTTTCCATGCTCGCGACGGCGGTTTCTAATGTCAGCGCAGGTAGGGATGCAGCGTCGAGCACGTCGGACAACTGCACTAGATCGCTGTGTTCTGTATTGTGCCTAACGATCTTAATGCGGTCGAGGAGCTCCTCGGTCTTGGGGTAAGAATCGCCGATAACGTCCTTAGGGTTGAATACCTTGACATTGCCTCGGACGGGGTAGTACCAGAACCAATTGCTTTGCCTGTCTAGACAATCCAGAACGTCCTTGCCAGCGTACTTGCAGCCATCGCTGATCAAGGATTGCTTCCTGTCAATATTGATCCACGACTCCTCGATACCGTACTTGTCACCAATGTCCTTATAGAAGCCCTTGGAGTCTCTCAACGAGAAAGTGACGTTATGCTTTCCCATGGCAGACTCCTGACATTTGACATCGACATTGTGCACACCATCCTTGCAATCTTTAGAAATATCGCAATCGATACCACAGTAGGCATTGGTGCAGTCGCTGCAGCATACAACATCCTTTCTCTCTGTACACTTGAAGTACAGGTCCGACTTCTCCTTCATGAAGGCGTCAATTTGGCCGGGAACTTGCTCCCTAATGTAACGTTCGTAGGTTTTGAACTTGCCATCGTAACCGTCGTTAATTAGGCCCTTGTACTTTTTCAGGGATGCTTCCATAACGGCTATTTCAACATCGATAATGTATATCTCCATGCAATGAGCTGGAATTGAACCCTTGTCGTCCTCGAGCTGTTTGAAAGTAGTGTACGTTTTTGAGCAGGCTGAGTAGAAATCGTGGTTGATTTTATATTCGTAATCATCAGGATAATCGTCACCACCGCTGCCGCTGTAGGACGGTTAGTATCATTGGTATATGATGCTTATGGTGTAGGAACTTACTCCAAAAACTCCTGTAGGTCAACGGCCCAATCTGTGGTTCCGGCGAAGTTGTATGAATCATAAAACTTGGAACGAACGGCCTTCATGTCATCATCCATATATGCCACCCACTCGGTATCGTTGTAGACCAGAATGTTAGAGCCTTCCTCTTTCCACTGCTTAGTGACTTTACCGTTGGTGATAATCTCGTCGATCTCGGCGTTGGAGATGTAGCCGCCTGTATCTGTGCAACGTCCCTTTGCAGCATTAGATTCGCGTGAGGTACCAGTAAATTTGCACGTTGGCGCGGTGCAACCAGCCTGAGCCATCTTGAACGACCGGCCATAGCTGGTAACACCCACGACCACTTTGTTAGAAGGTACGCCAGCCTTAGTGATCATTGACAAAGCATCTTTCGTTTCTGTTTCGTTGACATGGGACCGTAAACAGTTGCCTTCAGGACAGCCGGGCGAAGTCCACGGGTTGGAATAGTCCCACTGGCCATGTAGATCATAAGTCATATAGACGATATAGTCAAGTTTGGCACCCATTTGTTCCATAGGGAACGACTTTAGATAATGGTAGGAAGCTGGGGCAGCAAAGGAAACTGTTTTGGAGCTATCCACCTTCGATTTGAGACCGGAGAGGAACTCATAGTAATCCATACCTGCCTTTGGGTCGCCAGCGGGGATACCAGGAATGTCTGGGGCCTAAATCATTTATGTCAACGTTAGTTAACTTCCAGCCCGGCCAAATTTATAGTTTTTAAAAGAAATACTTACCCCAGGATACTCCCAGTCAAGATCGACTCCATCTAGTTTATGCTCATTCATAAAGGCAATAATGTTCTTTTGGAAAGTATCGCGGTTACCAGGTTTGACTGCTTCGCGAAGAATGTGAAAAGTACTAGGCAGAGTACTAAAGTCCCAGCCGCTGAAAGAAATAATCTTCTTAATCCCGGACATGCCTTTAAAGAGGCCAAACTGCTCCTTAACCTTGCTTACATCCACGTTGAAGTCAGACGTCACATCAATGAAAGCAAAGTGGATATGCGTATACTTTTTTGTGTCGATCTGGTCGACATCCATGGTCAAGCATTTGCGGTTTTTATTCCAGGCTTCAAAATATGCGACGTTAATCTTCTTAGATGGCGCGGGACCTTTGATAATGTCTTTACCGCAATTGCTAATGCCTATTTTTGAGGTCAGCCATAACTCTACTATTGAGTTTGGGAGGGAGACACTTGCATCCATTTTTACCGGGCGCAGAAGTACCAGGAGCGCCAGTTTCTGACTTGGATATGGTACAAAATTCATCTGTTGTGCCACATTGACCCCATATGTTGCAGCAAACCTTCAAGGGGCAGGGATTGAGGGTGGCCAAGTCGGTGCCTTTGGGTGGCACTTTGGTACCGGGAACCTTTGAATCGTGTTAGTTTCGATAATAACGTCTTTAGCGGGCTGGGAATCCTTACGGTCGGTCCACAAATAGCGTTCTAGGAATCAGAGTCAGTGTATAGTCTTCTGTTTAAAGGCATCCAATTTCAGGGGAAAGACTTACTGCCACAGAAGCAGGCATAGGTGGCACTCCAGAGCTCACACACAACTTGAACCCAACCCAAAGCAGCTTGCAGCTAGTCCAGCCCCATGTTTTCTTGTTGAAGTTTTCAATATCTGTAATCGTTATCCCAAGAGATGCAGCAATCGTAGAACAGCTATCGCTCGTTATAGTCGTATATGTGGCGCAGGACCCGTCCGGGTTGGGCTTGGGTCGCAAGTCAGGCAACTTGCCACGAGAGCAGCAAACATGCTGTCCGACTTTTGGAGACGTACATAGGTCGGCGGCATTAACCTTGGTAAAATCCGGGAGACTTAAACCGCACTTAGACGCCAGGGAGCTGCAACCGTCGCCACTTACGACCTTTATTGTCTTGCAGGTGCCGTCCGAGTTTCCAGGAGGGATAGTGTCAGGCAAGGTGCCGGAGGAGCAGCAGACCTTCTCGCCAATAACGAGCGTCTCGCAAAATTTTGAACGAGTATTGTACTTTACCAAGTCATCTTGGCTGATCTTGCACCAGTTGGCAACAGCCCAACAGCCATCGCCAGCTTCGACCGTAGTTGTTTTGCACTCTGCTCTGGCAATCAACCGGGGCCTTGACCCTATGTGGGCGGCCCCAGTTGGAAAGGTTATCGTTTCGTTGCCATTTGATTTTGACTTGACACTGGAAGGGACACGCAGAGTTACTGTCATCAAGACCTCATCACCGTCCCCTCCAGGGACGCATCGTCCGTCGGCCCAATTCTTGACGGCTTCTTGGATTAAGGGCATTTTCTTTGCACTGCCCACAATGATACCGATGCCGTAATCCGCGCCACGGCCATCGACTTCACATAGCTGGATGACAGTAGTTTTTGAAATCGAGTTTTCCTCCGCATATTTGAGCAAGCCGTTGAGAACATCAATGGTGACGCCATGCTGGTGGACTTCGGCACCTCCAAACACCCCAATGACGACAGATTTAGAGTATCCAAATGCTAAGGCGTTATCCACACAGGAAGGCGTTTTTGATTTGAAATGGTTGACAATCTGGTGGCCCGCTGACAGTAAATCTTGAACAGAAAAGCCATCATCATTGTTGGCGTAGTATGAGAGATCTTGATAGAAGCTTCGACGAGGGCGTGATTGGGCGTTGGGCAAAGGGCTGCCGTCTGATCATCAGCCTCGTAGACGGCCTTCATGCTGGAGCTATAGTCCGCCGTGCATGCCCTGATGACCGATTTTTTGTTTTGGGTGATGAAATCTAGCACCATGGTCTCATTGCACGCCGCCAGCTTTGCGGCCTCAGGGAATAGGAACCACCCAGGCCCAGTGCTGCTGTTGCCAGATTCTTGACATGCCAAAGGGCATACAGTGAGCGCACTGGGAGGCGCTCGGTTGTTCGCTGCAAGCCATTCGTCAAGCCCGCTGTCGCCTCGAGCGTTTATTGAAGTTGGTGTGTGGCCCAATTGGGCCAACACTGGGAGAGTTGAATGTATGAAAAAGCACCACAGCAGCTTCATGGTGAACGATGGGCGAGAAAGAAGGCCCTCATCTCTTCCAACAGAGGCAGAAAGGGACGACTAAATAGATTCATCACTTGGCCGGACTCGTTTGACGTAAGGAAAAAGGTCCAAGTCATGCCCAGAATGTAACCTAACATTTGGTAATTTGAGAACCGATATCCACGCCGCAACCCCTGAGAAGTTGCTAGTTTCTCGCCCCCAAAAATATGAGATGCAAGCTGAAGACCCCGGTACAGAGTCGCAGTTCCAGAGTAGAACGATAGTTGATAAAGGCAAGGGTATCAAGGATTGTTCTCCATGGGTAACAACAGGCATTAAGCCAGCCGCCCCCTGGGAGTATATGCCTGCTGCATTCTGAAAAAAAAGAAAGAAAAAAGAAAAAATAGGAAATAGGAAAGAAAGGAAAAGAGAACCAAGAAATAGAAAATAAAGGAAAATAAAAATGAAGAAGTTATTATCTTCCGTTCGTTCCTCTTGTATTTGCTCCGCATACACCTCTTTTTCTGCTATTCCTCACTTTTTGTTATCCGTGTCATTGTTACCTGAGCTATGCGGCCTTCATTCCTCTTCACTCTTGCATACCTCACCGTGAGCGTCATTGCTGGCGGATATCAAGGATGCATTGAACGCGTGTTACTCTTCTACGCCTACCAAATCGACGAACTCAACGACCCCAAGGACCGAATTCTGGGCTTCGCCTGCAAGAAATGGGACTTCATGCCCGTCTCCCCAGAATGCAAGAACAATGAATGGAAAGAGTGCAAGGGCAAAGGCGGCCGTAGATGCAATTTCAACGAACTCATGGCGTCCCTAGGCAAAGCGCGTCCCAACCACAAGCTGGTTGGCCCTCCTGGAGCAGATCAATTCACGACAACCCCTGATATTGATGAGACGTCAAAGGTCCTCTACCACCATTATACCTCAATGGTGAAGAATATGATAGTGCCCAACTACCCAGCCTACAAGGCCATGAAGGGTGCCGATATGGACTATAACAGGTACCTCGAGCGCCCCGGCAAACTGGTCAACGACGCAGCAATGCACAAAACTGAGGCCAACAAGCACCTGTGGGAGAAATACGACTCTAGCCTGGAGAAAATTAAAGCCGCACGCGCGGGTGACCATGGCCGATTTCTCGTCCCAGCCGCTAAAGCGGACTTAGGATCGAAAATGGAGGTTGTGCTGGAACATTTGGGCAGCAACCCCGTCAAGCCCTCGGAAGTATGGGAAACTGTTGACTGGGCAGCCACCGAAGAAAAGGCCAAGAAGGATGGCGTTGCCGATTATGAGGATCTCATCGATAAGTTTAAGAGTACGTTTTACGGCACTCGTGTCGCCCGGGAACATTTGGTAGTCGAGGAGACATTCAAACGGATGGCAGACACGGCACGGTCATGCCGCTAGACAGGTAGCCTTTCGGTTGACCAAAAAACAACTGAGTGGGTATCTCGAGCCACGGAGCGCAGCTTGAAGCAGGTTGTATCTAGTCGTCCGGCAAATAGCGTCATTTTAGCATTATAACCCTTGAAATTACCCATATATACCCCTGGGCCTATCTTTATCTTATCCTTAGACTTGTCCATTGGAAAGTATATAAAATACAGGGACCCTTAAGGACTCTGACAGGGACCTCTGTATACCGCTTTATTGTGGTTGGTCAGAATGTTGTAATGATGGTGGTTTCTGGTTGTTTTTTCGGATATTTGTATAGCCATGCATCAAGAATAGCACCGCTCTCTAGACGAGGAGAAAGGGGATATATGGATACATTCATTCGGATTCAGAGCACGAGGATCTTGGAAGCATATCATCTAGGTCCTTGCCCAAGGCAACCTCCCCGGTCTCCCTGTCGATGAACCTCACATTATCTGGTCCACACGGCCAGTGGATGGACTCCCAGGCGGTCTGCCAGTCGTCCACGCCATTGTAGCAGATGACGTGAATTACCTCAAGGTTACTATAACCAGCGAGTTGATGGTAGCGAAAGTGGAAGAACCATTCGTCGTTTTCGCCCTCAAAGGTAAGTCGGCGGATTAGAAGCCGTTCAGCCTCGAATAATTCCCAAGCAAAAGTGCTATGATGTCCAATCGATATCATGTCTACCTCGAAGTTCACCCAGACGTACCGTGGTTCGATGCCGAAGGCGAAGGCCCGCTGGTACAGCCCCTTTTGGTTCCGGGCCTCATAGCAGGTTTGGAGGATTGCAGGCACCGGAGCCGACGACATTACATGCAGGGTTTCGTTGTACGGGGTATTTTTGTAGCCAACCTCGATGGTGCGAGGTTCGACTGTCAGTTCCCAGATACGAGCGCGAAGCTCAGATGGCAGACAAGGGAAGAGGTGGAAGACGGCCATGTGGACTTTTGCGGCGTAGTAGAGTATTGAATGTCGATGTACGTACAACTCGCCCTGGCAAGGGGTATATATACGTAAAACTAGGCTCAAGATAAACCTGGCTGCGGCAGAGGGCTTCACAAACCATGCAAGCAATTAAGCGATATCAATATACTAGCACCATATAAGGCAGCCAGCGCCGTGCTGGAAGAGAGAAAATACAACGTTGACAGGGAGTCATGCAGCGATGTCACTGGAAAGTGGGCGCCATGGGGATTATATAGAGAAACGCCCAGGCGGCTGCGGATAAACCCAGCAGTGTTAACTAGTTATTTAATAGGCCCTGACTCCTTAGCTCGCCAAGCGGTCCGGAGTAGAAAACAAAACTTGACGTCAAACATTACATTAACTACCAGGGGTAATTGACTTCAAACATTAAGGAGTTATCCGGGGAGAAGATATGGCCCAGCTCGTCGGGTCAAGATCTCCGGGGTAGCTGGGTAACTCCCTCGTTAGCCATTTGCTGATGCGTCTGCGCATGGGGGAAGCTGATATAGAAGACCATCCTGGCACTGGAGCAACGAGCATGTAACCGCGGGAAGTTCTATGGACTTATATCCTGGCGCTTGCATACCAACATAAACCCCCTGGCTGAGCTGATATTAAATTTAACAGGAGAGTAAAATTCTCTCTCTCTCTCATTCCCCCGTGGATAGTGTTTCTTTATCTCTTCTTCCCCCGTGGATAGTGTTTTATCTCTCCGTGAGGCCTTCTACCATATCATTCTCTATCTTCTTCCCACCTCTGCCCATCTCGAATCGTCAGTTCAATCAACCACTCTGCTATGAAGTCTACCTTACTCTCCCTTGGGGCACTAGTCGCCGGCCTACGCTTCTGTGCTGGAAACGATTATCCAAGACTGCAATGGGACCCAGAAACAACTCTCTCCTGCATCGACTGGTATGATAATAACCAAGGTATGGGATGTGAGGATACCCGAAACTATTTTACCATTACGCCTGAGCAATTCACCAAATGGAACCCCTCTGTCGGTCTCGACTGCAAGCCATGGAAGAAATCCCATTCCTACTGCATCCTGAGCCAGGAGAGACTGGACAATACAACCAAGACAGCGACGGCAACCTTCCCAACAAACACCCCCATCCCAACCGCATGGGTCGATTTGGGCTGTCATATCGACGACGATGCTAAGATGCCAATTCTCGAGGCCCGCGGAACCGAGGAGGGAGGTGACAAGAAGTTGACTATCGCTAAGTGCCAGAAGAATTGCTATTACGTGTTCCGTCGGCTGGAAGGCACAAAGGCGGTTAAGTGGGCAGGTGTGAAGGCAGGCAATGAGTGCTGGTGTAGCAGCTATTTCAAGGGCAAGAAAGCTAGCGACAAGAAAGAATGCAATCTGCCCTGTACCGGCAAAGCAGACGAAATTTGTGGTGGCAAGGATCGCATCAATGTCTTCGAGCTCCAGTACCCAGCCCCCGAGGATCCAGAGTCTACGAAGACCTCGTCCACCACATCAAGGACCCAAACCACCACCCTGTCGACTACATCGGGAACCAAAACTATCAGCAGTAAGCCTACGACCATGCCGACTGGACCTGCCGGCTCTGGGGCAAGCAGGAATCTTGCGCCATTCTAAGGATTTCACTGCCGGTCTAGATCGCATAGTTAGGGTCTCAACCAAGACGGACATCCTGGAGTGCTGGAGTAGGGATATAGTCACACTTTATCTTAGATAGCGCGAGTTCCATAACGAATTATACATTTTGATATTACCAGCTGATTTTGAATATATCTTATAACTAGATAGCTAGTAACCAATTCGACTTTATAGGGTGTGATAGAGATATGACGCTTAGCACCTTAACTAGCTGTTTAACTGGAATAACTAGCCGTCATCCCCATCTCAAGTGGATGGATCTCACAGCGCCTCAAAAATGGGATACCTCGGGAATAGCAGCCGCGAGACGGGTTTTATTTTGATATTACTTTCAAATACTGGTAGTAGATCAATTCTCTAACACTAACTTCTCCTTGCCTTCATCTGCTGAATTCACTGGCCGGTAGGATAACGATAGGACGCTCCCCACTGACGTTGACCACTTCGCCTGCAATACTGGCATCTATATCCCACTTGAGAAGATGCGTGACGCGAATATTGAACGTGGTAAAATCAGGACACAGGTCAGCGGTCTGCTTTGGTCGTATACCAAAGATGCTGCTAACATCTACATAGGTTGGAGACGACTCTTTGTCTGTGCAAGCGCAAGGAATGAAGACTGCCTGCCGTAGCCTTATGAAGGTATCATAGTCCACCAAGGCATGCTTCGACTTGACATTACCGTGATGTGGGTGGAAGGTGCCTCCACAGCGAACTTCCGCGTTCGTCTTAATTGTCAGACGAAGCGAAGTGAGCTTGACTTTGGGCGGCGGCCCTTGCAGTAGCTCAGGGCTGCTCGACTCACGGTTGTTGGTAGACGGGTCTGGGACAACGCGCAGACGCACCGGCAGCGTATCAGGGTGATCGAGCTGAATGGAGCGCGGCATGACGACCTCTAGATCAAAACACATCTTAGGGATGCTAGACGTGCCGAAGAACATCTTCGTCTTTTGCTTGAAGGTCAATTTGGCTTCCTCGTTGCCGGGGATTAGCCGCAACGTTTTCACGCCCCGATAGGTCTTTACGAGATGCGATCCCAAGTCGACTAGCGGCAAATCTAGAATGCGCGGACTCACCAACAACGGCCTGGCAGCACGAAACGTCCTCGTTATGCGGTCTGCCGCCGTAGTCGTCGTGAGGTGGGCTTCCAGGACGTACTCGACGTAGCCTTCGACCTGGTAGTTCAGGCCGTAGCTGCTGCCAAAAAAATTAGGCGGCAAGGGTGTGTTGGCCAGGCTGCTCCGGTCTAGCGGGAGATAGCTATATTCCTGCGAGGTTTCTGGCGCAACCTTCTCAGGTTCAGGTATCCGCGAGGGTAGCGTGATGGCAAAGGGCCATGACTTCTCGTCCTCTGGTTTATTTCCGGGTGGGATATGGATTGGGCCCGAGAAGAGGCGCTGGCGAGTCTGCGCGCCTTCGATGAGGGTGAAACGGTTGCGGTATTCGCTGGTGGTCTGCCCGTTTTTGGTGATCTTCTTGCTCTTCGTGCGGGCGTAGAGCTCGATATCGACGGAGCTGGCGACGGAGACGGTATGCTCGCCGCGCCAGACGCAGCCGATGATTGTGTCTCCTGGAGCGTAGACGAGGTCACCCTCAAGGCGGATGCCGAGGGCGCTGCTGTCTTTTGCTGAAGCTTTTGGCATCTTGAGCTTGTTCGATCATGATGAGACGCAAGAGATACGGATAGACAGAGGACGAAGGCGCTCAGCCACTGACCCTGGGCCGTTTACCAGGATGAAAGATATAGCGTCGCAAGTCAGTGACCAACAAGCGGCCTGGATAAAGAGTTAGCTCAGTTCAATTCGCACGATGGATGCTCACAGTCAGCCATATCACATATCGACCAGGTATACCGGTCAACGCGGATGGAAGCTCGATATTAATCCAGACACTGTTGAAATAATGTCCGTATGAAGGTCTTATCGTGTCTATTTATGGCGATATCAGCAATCAGCTATACGTTTATCGATTACGCAAACAAGCCATGATCCCTACAGACATCAGGCCATATATCAGGCCATCAAGCATCGGGGTTTGAACTCTAAGCGTCTTCGCTTCAATGACCTTTTTATTCGACTTTTAAGTGATGAAATAGAACCGATCTCTCCGCGGCTACAACTCCACGGGGTTCGATAAGCATCAGATATGGAGTAAACAAGGTATATAATGTAGGCGCCAGCTCCAATTGAGCATCAGCTTTTTGTCATCATATAAACAACTAGTCAACTAGATAATTAAGAACGAAATGTTCGTCTCTCGCCCTGTTACCATCGGCTCGAGGGCCTCCATCCGACTGACCAGGACGGCATTCAGGTCCATAGCCACTGGTACTTCTCATCCGTCTATCTATCATGAATCTTGAACATTGTCTAACACGATACCTCCGGCAGCTCCCAGTTTCCCCTTCTCACGTCCTCGCGGCGCTGAGCCCCCGGCAGAGTACGCCAAACTGCGAGAAACCGACCCGGTATCCAAGGTCAAGCTCTGGGATGGCAGCCAGGCATGGCTTGTGGTCAAGCACAAGGATATCTGCAGCGTCTTGACGGACCAGCGGCTTTCCAAGCAACGCAACCGTCCTGGCTTCCCTGAGCTTGACCCGGGCGGCAAGGAGGCAGCGAAGAGGAAGCCAACGTTTGTCGACATGGATCCGCCAGAGCATATGCAGCAGAGGTGATTTATACGTATAACTACGATGCTAGAGGATGGAATGCTGATATTGGATAGGAGCATGGTTGAGCCCCTGTTCACCCGCGACCAGATTGATGCCATGCGGCCACACATCCAAAAGACGGTCGATACCTTGCTTGCGGATATGATCAAGGGCGGCGGCAAGACTGCAGTCGACATTGTCGAGAAGCTCGCATTGCCGACTGCATCATACGTGAGTGCTCGGTTGTTGAAGCTGAATGAACCTGTTAACTAACTGTCGACGAAATACATAGATCATCTATGGCATCCTCGGTGTTCCATTCGCGGACCTCGAGTATCTAACTCAACAAGCAGCTATCCGTAGCAATGGCAGTGCCACTGCGACCGCAGCCTCCATGGCAAACCAGTGAGTGCTTACATCGTTCATTGAGAGTTTTTGCCACCGTAACTAACTGGTTATTATAGGGAACTGCTTAACTACATTGGCAAGCTAGTTGACCAGAGAGTCGCCGAGCCAAAGAGCGACCTCATCAGCAAACTCGTTGTAGAACAGGTTAGCATCCTCCCCATCCTAGCCAATGGCCCTTGCTAAATCTTCATCTTCATTCAGCTCAATCCAGGCCATATCCAGAGGGATGATGCTATCCAGATGGCGTTCTTGATGCTTGTGGCTGGAAACGCCACGATGGTAAACATGATCAACCTGGTGAGTAACTAGCTCAAACTACTTCCCTTCCCGACCCTTATACCCGTGAAGTCAATAGTCACTGATCTGTTTACAGGGCATCGTGACTCTCTTTGAGAACCCGTCCCAGCTGGCGGACCTCAAGAAAGACCCGTCCCTCGCACCGCAATTCGTGGAAGAACTTTGCCGCTTCCATACGGCATCCGCCATGGCAACTCGCCGTGTTGCGAAAGTTGATATCGAACTCGGTGGCAAGGTATGTCTCTTTGAGCCTTATTACCTGCCCTCTACAGAAACTGACATGTGGTTCCAGACCATTAAAGCCGGTGAGGGTATAATCGCCGCCACGCAGTCAGGTAACCGTGACGCCGACATCTTCCCCAACCCGGACACTTTCGACATGTACCGCAAGCGTGGTGCAGAGTCAGCCCTTGGCTATGGGTACGGCGAGCATCGCTGTGTTGCCGAATGGTTGGCTCGCGCCGAGCTTGAAATCGTCTTCTGTAAGTTCCAGTCTCCCTTCGCAAAGGCAAAGTAGAAGTTATTATGGGCGCATGACTGATATCGTGACAGCTACCTTGTTCCAGCGTCTTCCGGATCTGAAACTGGCCGTCCCGCTCGACCAGATAAAGTACTCTGACCCATCCAAGGATGTTGGAATCACCGAGCTTCCCGTTACTTGGTAGACATCAGTGATTCTTATAGATCATTCAAGTGCAGTTAGAACCACATGTAATCTATTATAACCAGCGCACTCCTTTTACCATAGATGATTCAAAGAGTATTTTGAACCTCAACTGATGGCGATGTAAAACTATCCATCCACTGTAGTAAGAGTTCGTCTCTGCCAGCATTAAAATCTTGCTACTGATAGAATCTAACCCGTATTCCTTGACTTGATCCATGCTTGTAGTGGACTTGGAAACGGCCTGTAGGAAGACCTGGAAGGCTTGGAAAGTCCGGAAGATCAGGAGTTCAGCAGCAGGCATCAAAGCCGGTCGACTCGGAGAAGGATATGCGTTATCTCTCTGAATGTGATTTCTGCAGCAAGATGGAGCAAGATGGAGCAAGTGAAGACGGACAGGTTTGCTCCCTGGAAAACAAGAAGATAGTCACGCTATGGGCTATGGACTGGGCGATGAGATGGGACATTCTGGATTCATCAAGAGATAACTAAATTGTCAAATATGTCTATTTGACAAGTCAGCGGTGTATAATCTCAGCTGTATCACCAATAGGCTAACGGCATGGTATTTTATTAGGTATGTGAGAAAGAAGGATAAGAGGTTCGTGTATATCTTCCTCTTCTGACGCCAATAAAGACGAACTGCTCGCTAAAGTGCGATCAATCGCAAGCCCGTATCGAGCTCTTATCGCGACCCGCACAGGAAGAAATAAATAAAGCCTCGTAAATACTTGACAGTTACCTTTTACTCTCTCTCAGACTCTCTTTGCGTCCTCCTGGGCCCGAGACCACCATCACCGGCACAGTCTGCGTGTAATGTGCTCGGTGAGCGTTCGCGATGTCGCAGAACTCTCCATGACCGTTCTTGGCCGTAAGTTTGCCAGTTTGCAGGTTTCCGGCTGAGCTCGAGGACTGCTCTGGCCGTTGCGGCCGTCTAACGGGCCTTTGTTGATGTTATCTACGGAGTACTGGCAGAAGTTTTGGCCTCTGTGATGCCTGTCCTTAGCATGCTACCTATGGCCGGCTTCATCTCGCGACACAACGCCAGGGACATGGTCCATCGCCGGGAAGACGGACACTATTTGCAGTGAGATGGCCCAGCATGGAGGACCATGACGTCGATGGACCGACTGACGCTCACACCGCTGCACGGCTACCGGAAACTCATCACATCGCATCTACCAGTCAAGTCGAGTCGACTTAAGTTAAGCATAACACATGATGCATATGGTGAGAGACGTGGATCCAACGAGAGGCACAGCTTGCTTCGTACATACCGTCATCCCGCCGACGATCCATGGACGTCGGATTTTTGACGTTGACGTCGCGGACTTCGACAGCGGGAAGCGATGCCAGGGTGTGATTGAGATGCTCTTGTGCCGAGGTGGTCGGACGTGGAGAGCGCGTGACGCTGTGCATCAGGAGAGAAGACGAAGACGAAGACGAAGGCGAAGGCGAAGGCAAAGGTCTTGAAGATGAGAGTCTCAAAGATGGGGAGATGAAGATGGCAGACGGGAGGACAGGGACATGGGAAGCTGGCTGTGGCCAGGATGACCTCCTGTTCCACCTTCTAACCCCCTGAAGATGCTGATACAGCTGATACAAGTTAGTCGGTCCTACACTCTGGAGATGATGGTAATATGATGGCTATATGGACGGGGGCGCCGTGATGGCCGTGATGGCCGTGATGGCTGATGGCTGATGGAATGGCTGCCATGCTATGCCATGCATCTGCACCGTCGAGAATCCGGGGAACGACCTCACGATCGCATGTACGCCTGTATGTCCGGTCTGTCTCGTGCCACCTCTCGCCCGTCCGATGGTATGGTCGATGGCCCGGTTTTCCTCTCCACACTGCCAATAAGGGCGGCCCAGATCGAGATGATCTACGCCCACAGCAATGTGATAGCCCAGCAATTATGATGATATCCAGACTGCCCCCGACCCACGCTGGAACCGGCATCGCACACACGACTGGCTGGGCATCTTCGAGACTATGGGGGTTGTATTTGTTTTGCCTTCTTTTGAGCCCTTGCCGATCGCACTTGCTCGTGAAACGTGGACCTTGATGAGAACTCAGATCTGGGAGAGAGATACATAAGGAGGTCTGCTTCTGCTTCTGCTTCTCAGGATGAAGAACCTCGACTGCAGACATCTTACCCGGCATTCATACACGAGTATACATATACGGCAAGCAAGATGAGGTTCGGATTTCTCTTCGGGCTCTCCCTGATTAGCCTCGGCGCAGCTTCACCCATTGCCACCCCGGTTTGGTGAGCTCTCCTTTCCCCTGATGAAAGTTGTTCATCCTGTTCTTTTGGCTAACACGAACATAGGAAATCTCCTCGCGCTGCTGAGGGTAACGGCATCATCCGCGGAGTGAACTTGGGCGGCTGGCTCGTGCTGGAGCCATGGATCACTCCATCCATCTTCGAAGCTGCCGGTGACTCGGCCGTTGACGAATGGACTCTCAGTCAGGCCTTGGGCGCCAATGCTCATACCCGTCTCTCGCAGCACTGGAATTCATTCATGAACCAGGGCGATTTCGACCGCATCAAGGCCGCGGGACTGACCCACGTTCGCATTCCTATCGGATACTGGGCCGCAGCCCCCATCCAGGGAGAACCATTTGTCCAGGGTCAGATGGACATGTTGGATGCTGCTATTGACTGGGCAAGACACTCTGGCTTGAAAGTCATTGTTGACCTCCACGGTGGTACGTATATCTATCTATACTTGCGTATATGGCTGTTGATATGCTAACATTGATATTGGATAGCCCCCGGATCCCAAAACGGATTTGATAACAGCGGCAGGCTCGGTCCGGCCAACTGGCAAAAGGGAAACACTGTTGACCTCACCATCAAGGCCCTCCAGGTCCTCATCCCCCGATACACCCGTCACGAAGGCGTGGTTGAAGAAATCGCCATTCTCAACGAACCCTTCCCTCAAGCAGGCATCCAGGTCGAACCACTAAAGGAATTCTACCACGCTGCTGCCGGAATAGTCAACCAAGCCAAACCTGGCACCGGCGTTGTCATCTCCGATGCCTTCATGGGCCCATCAAAGTGGAACGGCTTCAACCTAGGTGCCAAAACCATCGTCGACACCCATCATTACGAAGTCTTCGACCCAGCCGTAGTAGCCTGGAATGTCGACCAACACGTCAAAGCAGCCTGTGACTTCGGTGCCAATGAAATCGCCCAATCCTCCAACCCTACCATCGTCGGCGAATGGTGCGGTGCGATGACTGACTGTACCAAGTACCTCAATGGCCGCCACGAGGGCGCAAGGTATGACGGAACACATAAAGGTTCAAACCCCGCCACGGCTGTCCCGGGAGGCTGTGCTGGCAAAAACCAGGGCTCCATTGCTGGGTTCTCCGAGGCTGAAAAGGTCAACACTCGACGATATATCGAAGCCCAGCTTGATGCATTCGAGCGTGGCCGCGGATGGGTTTGGTGGACTTGGAAGACCGAGGGAGCACCAGGTTGGGACATGGGTGACTTGTTGGCGAACGGCATCTTCCCACAGCCATTGGATTCAAGGCAGCACCCTGGACAGTGCCATTAGATTATGGTTGGCGCACGTAGACAGACAGACATGGGGCTTTTTTTTATTGTTATTACTTTGGATAGGATAATGCTTTAATTCTCGCTTGCGTAAAGCGAATGGACCGCAATGAACAGACAAGACAGTCAGAATATATCATGATACCTCTATTCCGCCAGTGCTATGTTATATCCATGCACGTATCTCTTCCTTCTTTCTAGCTAGGTATTTATTTTTATTTATCCCGGGTATTCGCAAGCTTCAACAGGGCAAAAATGTTCGTAAAGAGAAATAAGCGGCGCCACTACATAATCCCCAGCTGGCCAAATCCATTAACAACCTCCCTGTCAACGTTAACCAACCATTCATCCCTAAACCGATCCGTCCCTCCACAAACCTGAACCAAAGCATGAAGATGCTGCCCAACGAATTCTCGGATATTGATCTTATGAATTACATCCGAGGTACTCCAAGCCCGCCGACGTGTTGTCTCAGGAGTTTCGGTATCCTGATACTTCTCGCCCTCGCCCTCGTTGGGGCCGAAAATCAGATAATCCCCATGTCTGGCATCGCCAGGACTCACTTCCGGGCCATCTGATAACTCGGTGATCACGTCTGTCCAGACGGTTAGGTAGGATTGTAGGTTATTAAGAAGATATGTTGGAGCGGGGGAGGAAGGGCCGTTGACGGTAAGTAAATGCGTTAGTGCCATCGTGTGTAATTTCTTCTTATTGATGTCTCCGATACTATCGAAGTGGGCGAACCATTCGTTCAGAATCCAGGTGAATGTCTGTTCCTCGGACGAGGTTTTGACCGCAGACGTTACTGCTGATATGCAATTGCGGGGAGAAGCTAGCGCAAGCCGTGCAAGGACAGAGAAGTGATCGGTTTCCGCCACGCCGTAGATGGTGGCTTGCTTCCTGTTGGGACCCGTTGACCCGCGTGACTCGTACGCCCCATAGAGGGCGGATAGAAGCGTTTCCATAAAGCCACTGCCTAGAAGAGACTTGGCAATGGCGCCGTAGATATGATCGCTGTTTTCTTCCGTGGCAGACTCACCCGTGCGCACTAGCAGTTCCGCCAGGTGGGGTACTAGGCCGATACGGGGCTTAACGTCAGGGTTGAGGAGGTTGCTGAAGATATCTAGGAGGCGGAAGCGGATGTTCTCGTCGAGAAATTCCCGGGGTGCGAGCAGGATGTAGGATTCTGTGACTTCTAGGGCTTGTCGGACTACGTCACTGCCGATAGCGAAAATGGGAAATACCGATGGGAACAAGGCGAGGACTTCGGGGGATGCTGGGCTTGGGGTTTCTGATAGGACGGCAGACCAGAGATCTAGGGATTCTTCGAGGAGATAGATGAGGGTTTCCTATATTTATGTTAACGTTATTCTAATGCCTGGGTGAGCTGGTGTACATACCGAACCAGGTTCGATGGACTTTTGGATAAGGGGTAGTATCATAGAATGATATCTTGTTGAGTCCTCCCTCATTGAGTGGATTAGAGAAGAAAGAAGAGTTAATATCGCCTGCTTCATCAAGTGTTCCTCGCCGGATTGCTCCCACAGTCCCGGTAGTAGGGATACAATTTGGTCTGCAAAAGGTGATATCTATCGAGGGTAAGCATGGTATCAATTCCGTATGTTTGGTAAGAACCTACGTGATGTTCCATCTTAACTACTGCAACCCTAACCGTCTCAAGTAGCGCCATCTTGGTCTCAACAAGAGTAACCTCCTGGATCAGTTCCAAAAGGCTCTGCAGAATAGGCGTTGAGAAGGGCTGGAATTGTTCTGCGGAGAACTCAAAGGGATCAAGAACCTGTCTTAGTCGCCGGCCAGCAGTCACGCGAACAACTTGATCGTTTATCGGGTCGTCTTTATTCAGGAGATGTTGGAAGATACCGTAGACAGATGTTTTATCTACTTCGCTTGGCTTCACAGGAACCCATTGGCCTAGAATAACAGATATTCTGCGACGAAGGATGTTGTATCCGGGGCCCTGAATCTGGATTTCCGGTACAAGGGTAGAGGTCAAAAAGGAGTTGAAATCGAGGCGCTTTTCTAAACATGCAGCTGCAAGGCCAACGGCGGAATACAGCGAGTCTTTCAGTAAAATATCTTTGTTCTCTGGATCTGTTGCACTGTTAGCTCTCCCGCGTTATTTTTTTTAACGAATTCCACTTACTAGCATAAGAGTAGAAGACATTTAGCAACTTCGGTATAAGCAGCTCTTTAAAATTTATCACAAGGTCAAGGAATAGTTTCTCTGCGCATGAACGGATCGAAAACTCCCAGGCCTCGATCTCTTCCTCCTCTCGCTTCTCCCATTCCTCGGGCTCTTCCTCCCACTCTCGGAGATCACTAGCTCTGAACACGAAAAAGCGGGTAACCAGAAGTTCCATGACTTGGACCACAAACTCTTCATTGAAAATCTCGGACTTTATGATGCTCACGCATTGGCTCTTCTCTTCTTTGAATTGCTGTTTTTGGTATTTGAAGGTGTTTGTGGGGTAGAATGCAAGCTTTGCACAGGCACGGAGAAGCAATAGGGCCTTGAGGCAGAGCTTCTCTAAGAATGGCTGCTCGTCTTCATCTGCATCGCCGTCCGTCCCAGCCTTCATTTTGGATAGATCAGTCGAGCCGTACGTTTTGCCTAGCTCAACTACCAACCCCCAGTAAGATTTGACCATATCAACAGACTGGGGAAACAGTCCAAATGCGGCTGGATGGGACCTGGCCATTTCCAGATGTAGCTTAGAGAGCTGGAGGACATGCTTTGAAATCAGCTTTTCAACCGCTGGAGGCAAAGTTGATGGCTGTCTCTGTAGTAAAGAGTAGAAGTTACTAAGATGGGTTAGCGAGAGTGCCCAAAATCCTTGAACATCCGACTCTCTGTTTGGGTATTCAAAGCCAGAAACTATTAGTCGTCGAATGACCTTGAGAGCCATTAGGCTTTGCTCAACGGCTTCCAAGGCACCACCTTCATCGTCCCCGCCTGACTCCAGAAAGGTTCCCCATTTCTGTACCTTTTCGACGTATATGTTTGCAACGACGTGGAATAATTCTGGAGCCACTGACTGCAGTCCTCTTCGCGTTTTCTCTAACCGGCCAGTGGAGAGTGCTTTGATGACCTGTAGGAGGATAAGGAGAGTCCGAGGGAGTTGAATTGGATAAGATCCGGGCTGGGTAGATGCTCGGAGAATTGCGAGTATTTCAGTGATAGCCTCTGGCCTGTAATAGATCGTTAGGGCGTGTAAATATTTTTTTGGGGGGGAAGAAGGTAACAGTAACTAGCCATTCAAGTGGGAACTCGGCCCTTATTGTTTTAGCAACTACCAAGGCATTCTGTAAAGCGAGCTGAGGTGCAGGTTCAACAACTCCAGCTTCCAAGGCCCGTCTTTTGATCCTGTTTTTATCATCTGCCTTTATCGCACTGTACGAGTCCCACATCAGCTTTCCTGCCAGACAGAGTATCACTTGGAAAGTCGAGCATACTTCTGAGCCGTTTTACGCCAATATCTGTCTATTCCGTTCTTAAGCTGGATAATTGAAAGGTATCGAACTTCAAATGGAAGCGAGTAATCGGTAAAAACATCCTAAAGGGTGACAAGCGAGAACTGTCAGCGATAATTGCTCCCAACACCGACAGAGGAGGGACAAGATACCTGTAATAGCAGATGATAGCCCTGCAGCTTCTCCCAATTCTGAAGCTGTGCCGTTCCACTCTGGACCTGCTGCTGTGAAGAAGAGGCCGCCGATGTCAAGGCATGTATAACATTTTGGAGGGTCAGCGGATTAGCTTCCCCTGGCACTTCGATCGCTACCTGCATGTTGCTGCCGAAGTGAAGAAACACCCGGCGACAAGAGAAATACGTGCAGTTCCCGGAGCGAGCAGAGAGCTCATAACAAGGTATCTCTCTTGGATGGTTGAGTTGACGGCGAATCTCGATGATGATAGCTTTGATATCAACCCCACCACGCGATAAAACTAAACTTTGGGGGAATGTTCACTAAGGGGACTAAATATCATCTAGAGCACAACAACGGCTACAAAGGAGCCTCAGAACCAAAAGGGAGGCCGTTGGTAATTTTATAATTTAGACATGAAGTCGACATGGGATGAGATCTAAATAGGCGAATAGCCCAGGGTTTGGGTTAAAATGAGCACTCTCAGTGACCAAAGTACCCTGGTAGATGGCTCAATAATGACGGCTCCTATATACCCCAACAGCCACCAGGCATACCTGCATAATTGACGTCAACATGGACAAATGATGCATCTGCTAGCAACATTTTCTTTAGTATGAAAAACATCTTTAAAGGATGAAGCGCCAAAAAAGTACCCAAGATACGTATATATCACGTGATGGCTGGACCTCGGCTCAAAGTTCCTGCAGTAAACCCGGGGGAAAGATGAGAGAAAGTCCCTAGGGGAAGGCCTTCTTCGCGAAGAGCGATATATCTACCACGACCCTGGCCCGGGATCAGTTCACTACCCTCAGGAAACCATCAGCTGAAGATGTTCCCGCGATGACTTCCGCAAACTTCGTTGCAGCGCAAGAACGTGTGTTGGAACGGCGTCGCCAACGCGAACTCGAAGCTCGAAATCGGCTCTCAAATACAGCATCACGGCTCCCTCCCGCAGTCAGCAACCTCCCGTACCCTCTCTCGAATATTCCTGCACGCGGATTAGCACTATGGGATACCCTACGAGGCAGAGAAGGGACTAGACCTGCGTTTCGGGTGGGACAGGTCGATGCAGAGTTGCTGGATGAAGAACTTATAACCTTGCTCAAAGGGCAGGTAGGAGAAGGGCTGAAATACTTTGGTGTGAGTACATGGACTTAGAGCTTCTATATTGAAGGAACTGACATTTGATTTGGGGTAGCGATATGTACGGGAAGACTGGAATCCGGAAATCGACCTTGTCCTTCGCGCTATTCTCTTTAAATTGTCTGTATGGGATCACAACGCTTCATACGGCGCAGCCCTTCAGAATTTGAAATATACAGATAGCAGGAGCAAAGGACCCGTACACTCTGATCCAACCAAATTTCAAAAGTCCCTATACGGTCTCCTAACGGTTGGTGGACGTTATGCATGGGATAGATGGGAGAACTGGATGATAAGGCAGGGGAGTAGTTATGAAGAGGTACGTCCCATGTATACCATCTAGCAAAAACCACGGCTAATCGAAGCGGGTAGCCAACCTCTAGCACGCGAGCTCTATCCAAACTCACCTCTCTCGTTTCGGCCGCCCACTCAATCGCCGCATTCGCATCCTTCCTCGTCTTCCTCGTTAACGGTCGATATAGAACACTCGTTGACCGACTCTTGTGCATGCGATTAACCCCGCCGTCGATGCAGGTTAGTCGCGAGGTTTCGTTCGAATACCTAAACAGACAGCTCGTCTGGCACGCGTTTACGGAATTCCTCCTCTTCCTATTACCCCTGGTTGGAATTGGGCGCTGGCGCCGATGGGTATCTCGAGCCTGGAGGAAAACCATGTCCTCACTCCGGGCGACGGAGGATGATAGCACGGAGAAGAACCAGGGTGAACTGGGCTTCCTACCAGAGCGGACGTGTCCGATATGCTACCAGGTACAGAACCCTACCACGACGTCGGAAAACGATGTTATGGGCCCAGGAGCGGCATCAGGCGGCATCATCGGCTCAGCACAGACAGATATCACGAATCCGTATGAAACTATTCCCTGCCGGTGTCTATACTGCTTCACATGCATTGCTCAGAAGCTGGAAGGAGAAGATGGAGAGCCATGGAGCTGTCTACGATGCGGCGAGCTCGTGAAGCAGTGTAAGCCGTGGAATGGAGATGTGCTTGAAGAAACGCAACCACAGCCACAGCCTACCGTTCGGAAGAACGTTGAGTTCGCGGTGGCTGATAACCATATCGACTCTGATACTGTGGACACTGACTCTGTAGCTCATGTCGATATTGACGATGGGATGAACGAGACCAGCCCGTGGGCTGCCGTGGGCGTGGAGGAAACTGATGATACAAGTGTCCATTCTGAGCCGGACTATAGGAAGTAATAATATATCCATTCCACGACCTCACGACGTCGATATACTATCACAAGCCATGGACTATCCCGGATTTCCGGCAACTTCTTTCATCCTATATATAAATTTTTCTAATATTCAACCTCATGTACTTACTATGCATCGAATACCATGCCAGATAACCCTGCTACCTGTCCAATTGACTTTTCTCGCGCCTTGCCACGGCCGTCGTTTGACTCCGTGACTCCGAGGGCCGCGCGATGTCAAGTACTGATACGGGAGATGGCGCCCGATGTGTACATATATTCCACCCCCTGCCATGTAGCCTGCCGTCTAGCTATACGGCGAATCAGCGACCAGCTACCCATGTCATTGGTGGGAGCTATTTAGCAGATGTGCATGGTTTTGTACTACTGTTTGATCCGCAGGTTCCAAGGATCTAACCCAGGCTGCAAGATTATGTTGGCTGGATACGGAGATCTAGACAGGCCGTCTCACCGACCTGTCGAGCTCTGGAGATGAAAAAGTACGTCATATTGGGACGTCATAAAAAGGCTATCCTTCTTCTCTGTTTTGGAGGCGAATTCCTTGCCCATAACCAAGCTTCGGTCCTACTTCATCGAGGGTCTGGTCTTTATAAGTGAGGAGTCGGTACTCGCATTGTCTGACTGTCGTTGCTTCCACCACCCGCATCATACTTTGATAGTTGATATACACACACCCACTCTTGAATATACCTAGGATTATCCTGAACGACTCGAACTTCCCACCATGCCGGACGTTTCAAGCTATGTTCGAACAGCACAGGTGATTGGGCTCACCACCTCGGGGATGATAGCTGGTAAATAGCTCACTCCCAACCACATTTCCCAGTCTAGAGCTCTTTTTTTTTTTTTAGTAAGACTTGACTAACTGCTGGGAACAGGCTCGATCCTCACCTACTCGACCACTCTGATACCCACGATCACTCTCCCCACCGGTAGTGGCCCAGCCACATACGACTCCAACCACAAGCCTGGCACTCCCATCTCGCACATCGCCACCCAATGGCGCCACGCCTATAGCATCGGCAAGAGCTCGATGCCCTTGTGCGCAATTGGAGCAGGCACCGCCTATGCCTACCTGGCATATGTGTTCCGCCAGGAGACAACCCTGCGTGCTGCCGACGTGAGGACCTCGAACTGGTATCTGCTTGCCTCAGGGTTGGTGATGTCGATCATCCCATATACCCTGATGGTGATGAGCCCGACGAACAAGAGCCTGCTTGCCCGTGCCGAGGTGACAGATGCTGAAGCCATGACGGGCGTGGCCAAGGCAAAGGAGGCTGCCAGCAAGGCTAGCGGCGACTCGAAGGCGACCAGGGAAGACGTCGAGGTGCTGAATTGGCTGAAGGGATGGGCCGAGTTGAACGTTGTCAGGGCCCTGCTACCCCTGGCTGGAACGCTTTCTGGACTCTATGCGACACTATACTAGGCTCCATGGCATGTAACTATAATATCAGACATGGCATATAGCGGCGTTGGTCCAACCCGGTAATATAGCCCGTTGGGGGCTTTTATGCTGCAAGGAGCTCCCCAGTGTGCGACCTCCAGGCCTGCTTTTCTCTTCCTTCTCTTCCTTTTTCTCTTCCTGTTTCTTCCCTCCTTTTTCTGTCCTTTTTCTGTCTTTATGACGTCGATGGAGTCATGTGATGGTTCTCTGCCAAAAAATAAAAAAAGAATAAATGATAAATAAGAAAATATACTCCGTGCTCCGTGAAGGCGTCTGCAGAGTCGCACGGTGTAATCACTCGTCCGTCCGTAGAAAAGATGTATAAGATTGTTGTGGGGAAAACTCCGAGTGCTGCGGTTGGTTTCTTCTTCATCCTGCTCCATCTTCACGATCCACGCATCGCTCTCTTCCGCCCGCATCGAAAGTATATCCTCCGTACAGCAGTTTGCATGCAGCGCACAGCCAATCCCTGCACAGCAACGGCCATTAGGTAAAAGCCGACAAAGCGAAAAAGTGCCCCTGAAACACGCCAATTGGCCGCTGGCTGATTCTCGCTGACTTGTCCGACCTCAGGCGTTGTGCGGGACCGGGGTAGAGCCGGTGGGAGGTGCGTCTCGAGCGCGAGAATAAAAGAACCAAGCATGGGCTCGCACTCTGGGAGTTCTGAATTTAAAACTTGCACTCGAAATCTTTGGTGACTATCTGGCGTGCGAGTGAGAAAGAGTGTTCCGTGACCGTTGGTAGCAGAGACAGCTACATATATAATATATATCCCACTACCGGCTATAGACCCTTACACTTACGCCCCTCTCCCCCCTGTTCTTCAGTTATCTTTAAAGGGAAAAAAGACCCGGCCCCTACTGCAACCTCGACTGTAAAGCCACCATGAGCTCTACAGAGGTGAATGGCTCGAGTGGTGCGGTGCTCGAGGAGAAATACGTACAGTTCCCGTGCGTTGCTGACGATGCGACTCGGGATGGTAAACCGGTGCTGAACAAGTACTCGCAGTTCATCACCAAGGACCATGACTTCCCCGGAGCTCAGGTAGGGCTTCGTTATGTCCATAAAGACGAAATACCGAGCCATAGCTGACGGGACTGAGCTCTAGGCCATGTTGTATGCTGCCGGCGTGCCTGATAGGGACAGCATGAAGAACAGTCCACAGGTAGGCATTGCATCCGTATGGTGGGAAGGCAATGCCTGCAACATGCATCTGCTGGATCTCGGGAAGACGGTCAAGAAGGCCGTCACGGGCCTGGGAATGCTGGGCTGGCAATACAATACAATTGGTGTCTCTGATGCGATCACCATGGGCCACGAAGGTTCGTCAAAAGACAGCTCCAGTAGCTAGCATTGCCGTCTGGGGGACCTATGACGAACTAAACGTTAGCAAATCTCTAGGAATGCGGTTTTCCCTTCAGTCGAGGGAAATTATTGCTGACAGTATCGAGACTGTCACCTGTGCGCAATACCACGATGCCTGCATCGCCATTCCAGGCTGTGACAAGAATATGCCAGGGACCATAATGGCGATGGGACGACATAACCGACCATCATTGATGATCTACGGCGGTACAATCCAGATCGGCTATTCCAACGTCATGCGACAGCCAATAAACATATCGACGTGTTATGAGGCAGCGGGAGCCTATGCGTACGATCAACTCAAACAACCAGAGGATGGCGGCGACCAGAGCAAGACAAAGGATGAAATCATGGAGGATATCGAGAGACATGCTTGCCCTAGTGCCGGCGCCTGTGCTGGAATGTTCACGGCCAACACCATGGCCACGGCGATTGAAACCATGGGGCTCACGCTTCCCGGTTCATCGTCCACTCCGGCAACCGTCCCGGCCAAGATGAGAGAATGCGTCAAGGCCGCAGAAGCCATCAAGCTGTGTATGGAGAGGAATATCAGGCCTCGCGACCTTCTCACCAAGCGGTCGTTTGAAAACGCCCTCGTCATGACCATGGCCATGGGCGGAAGTACCAACAGCGTGATCCATTTCATCGCCATGGCCAGGTCGGCCGGCGTCGAATTGACGATAGACGACTTCCAGCGTGTCAGCAACAAGGTCCCGTTCATCGCCAACCTCTCCCCCAGCGGAAAGTATTACATGGCCGACCTATACGACATCGGAGGCACGCCCTCTGTCCAGAAGCTCCTCGTAGCCGCCGGCCTGCTCGACGGCGGCATCCCCACGGTAACGGGCAAGACGCTCGCCGAAAACATCGCCTCCTTCCCATCCCTCTCTCCAGGGCAAGACATAATCCGACCCCTCGACAACCCCATCAAGGCCACCGGCCACCTGCAGATTCTGCGTGGAAACCTCGCTCCAGGCGGCGCCGTGGCCAAAATCACTGGGAAAGAAGGCACCAAATTCACCGGCAAAGCTCGCGTGTTCGATCGTGAGGCGGCGCTCAACAATGCGCTATCGCGCGGCGAGATCCCACGGACCGAAAACCTGGTCCTCATCGTCCGCTACGAGGGCCCCAAGGGAGGTCCCGGCATGCCAGAGCAACTCAAGGCCAGCGCCGCGCTTATGGGCGCCAAACTGACGAACCTCGCCCTCATCACGGACGGACGATACTCTGGTGCCAGCCACGGCTTTATCGTGGGCCACATCGTCCCCGAAGCCGCGGTGGGCGGTCCGCTGGCCATCGTGCAAGACGGGGACGTCATCACCATCAACGCAGAGACGAACGAGCTCTCGATGGCCGTGTCTGATGAAGAAATCGCCGCGAGGCTGAAGAACTGGACACCGCCGAAGCCGCGAGTCACTCGCGGTGTCTTGGCGAAATATGCTCGATTGGTCGGAGATGCATCTCACGGTGCGATGACCGATTTGTTTTAAGGCAGGCATACATATAGGAGTCAGGGAAGATGATGATGATGATGAAGAAATATAGAAAATCATATGAAGTTACTCAACCGTCTATCTGCCATTAGGCGACAAAGGGGCGTGTAGCATGCGACTTTTGGCCATGTGATGACTGCGATCTTCGATCAGCCCAAGGGGTTCTGATCGCCATCTCTACGATGGTAGGATGAAGACGGATGGGGGAGCTCTCGGGTAAGAGTGCATCATGTACAAGCATTAGGAACCATCCACCGTTGGTAGAGCATCTCGTAGTCTTCTGGCATCAGCCTCGGGTATCGTCCAGTGCCATCTCAAGAACCATTTCGAACGAGGCTGCTGGGAAGCGTAGAGTAGATTACACCATGCCGGTAAACATGGGTGTAAGAATAGCAGCTGATGCAACATCGAAAGGGTCGATAAATATAGCATGAAGCCTTAGGCTGGATGTTCTACTTGAGTCACAGTCAGTTTCATTTCTTCACCATCTTCTTCAGTCTGTCTTCACTGTCTCCAGGTATCCTCGCGTAAGTAGAGTCTCGAAGCTATACATAGTTCACTTGCTGACTGTCTAGGCTGATCAAACGAGCAAAACCACTGAGCAAGGCTGAAGGGTTACACTTGACCTGCATCGTCAACATCTCAGGCTCGTCCGCCGTTTGTCTTCGCCGTTCAGCTCGTTCAACCTGTTATAGCACAGCGTGCGAGCCTGTGGTACTTGGGCATATCCAACCCGCGGATACCTGCCTGCATAACCAACTAGTTTAGTTACTTAGTCAAACTGTGGTGGAAGGCGCTGGCTTCTGGCTTCTGGCTCCTGGCTGCTGCTTGTACGCGACCGTTCGTTTCCTTGTAAACAGACAATCGCCCTTTTCCCCTCCATCAACATGGTATATTCTCACTCTACGCTCGAAGTTCCCCAGGAGAAAGTGGTCTAGTGAGAAGTGAGTCGTTAACCGCGATAGCCGCCTGGCAGATGAGAACCTGCTCTATACACACCAATTTCAGAGCTGAGATAGCTCTTCGCCTCTCACAGGATCTGACTCGGTCTGGAGTGTTTTGCCTAAATCAGAGACAGTCCGTGTCTTACTCTACGGAGAATTCATCATAATACCCTCCCTCTCGAAGCCTTTTTTGACATATAAACTGCGAGACCGACGCGACGACGACTATGTCGGTCCTCCGGATGCCAAGTATAGGGCTGTCAGGCTCGGATGGGCTGTTCAGGAGCCTACAGTTATCGTGCTACTATCATGCATCGCGACTTGTGCATTGTATCCTCAGCCTGCGCGGCTGGTTTGGCCTAGGCAACGCCGACGAGTTTGGTGGCTACTACAAGGTGTCTGTTACAATTGTGCTGCTCCTTGTAGGCGGCGGAATTGTCTCATGGAGGCTTCTGCGTCCCTATGGCGGACAGTGTACCTATAACAACGGACCTGTTCCTAGATACACCCGCGCAGACCGACTGTCTGAAACCAGTCATACCAGTACCACTGACAACAACAGTCAGCCGAGTACGGAAAACCCTAGAGATAAACTGAAGCGTGACGGTATGTTCCAACTCGAGACTGATGTGTATACAAGATCTATTTCTAACGCCTTTTTTGATATAGGGGAACATGACGTGGACCCTGGTATATTGAAGAAGCATTCGTCTTACTGTTCCTATACAACTTCTGTGGCTACCTATCCCCAAGTCCGCACGTTCTTTTACCCGCATCCTCACACCGAGAAACTCCCCACGAAACCAAAGATACTCCCACTACTGGTATTTATCCATGGACTGGGTGGCTCCCTGTCTCAATTTCACCATCTTCTACACAGCTTGATCACCATCGGCCCCTGCTTTGGCATTGACCTCCCCGGCTGTGGGCTGTCATCATTCGCCCCAACGGCCTGGTCAGCCTACTCTATTGAGGCTATGGCCGAGCTCGTGGGTCAAGCCATCGAACAGCACAGGGATGCTGCTCGTAACCAAGACGTTATTATCATTGCACATAGCATGGGTTGCTCGATCGCGGCTCTTATCGCCTCACCAGCCTCCCCCGTCAAGGCTAAGGTCAGGGAGCATATTGTCGGTCTAGTTGCGGTCTGTCCTATTGCTGCGCCACCTGCAAAGGACGTAGTTACTCTTTCCAAGAAGATGCTGTATATACCTGGCTTTTTATTTGATGCCTGGCGCTGGTGGGACCGTATGGGGGGAGCTGATAGCGCAAGTGTACGCAGGCTTGTTGGGGAAGGGGCTGACCCGGAAACCCGTTCACTCCAGCTTCGATATAACCAACAGAGCCACACGCCGGTATGGAGGAGGATGGCATGGGGCGCTCTTCCAACTTATGACAGTTCGGGTAAGCCAGTCGGGGGGATTCCTGGGAAAGAAATATGGAAGAAGATCCATTTCCCTCTGTTTTTCGTTGGAGGAGAATCAGACAATATCACAAAGCCGAAGGAGGTTTTGAAACTTCTACACTATTTCATCAGCGAGAAGCCTAGTAGTGATCGGCCAAACCCAGATCTACCGGGCGACGACGTTGTTATTGGAATGCTACTTCATAACTTCGTACAGGTTCCCGAGACTACCGGCGATCGACGTACTCACTACAAGGAGACGTCGTGGCTCGCAAACCATGATGGCACGCAGACCGTGGACTCATACGTGTTCCCAGCGCCAGCGTCCCATGGCCTCCTGTTTGATCGCAACACATATCGAACTTTATCGGGCCTTATCCAGACCTTCGTTGCGGGTAACATTGACTTACGTCTAGCCCTCGGGTGGCAGCTTCAGCACCTAACCACTTCTGGCAAATGGGACGTGAAGAATCTCGTGAAATGGCAGGCTGTGAAGCCAGTGTCGGATCCCATTGGCGGAACATTCGTTGCGATGAAGACATTGCGCGAGGTTGACCTGGATCACTCTCCAAAGCCGTTCGTTGAGGATTGGCGTGGCAAGATATATGCCGTGATTGACATTAGCCATGAAAGTCCCGTGTACGACTACTCGCAGCTAGAGCTAGGAGGGATCAAATATATCAAGCTCCCGAGCGTCTCGAAGATCCCACCGACTACGGACGAGGTACGAGAATTTATCAATACGGTGTCTCGGCTAGAGGATGAGATTTCAGAAGCACGCAAGGGGGGAGAAGCTCCATTGCCTTCACGACCGCATATCGCTGTCCATTGCCATTACGGGTATAACCGGACTGGCTTCTTCATTGCTTCATATCTCATCGAGCGGATGGGGTATAAGATCCAAGAGGCGCTGGCAGAGTTCGAGCGACGACGGCCACCGGGTATACGCCATGAGCATTTCATCGACACCTTGCATGTACGCTACTCTGTCGGGCTTCCCCGTGAGTGATGAAGATGGTGATAAATTGATGAAGGGGATGACAATGATGACGGTGATTTCCTATGTCATATCTGTATTGTATTCGCTAGGGTTTGATGGGCAGTATTACGATGTTGGGGCGGGTGGGAGCTCACGCGGTGTAATTCCTTATGGCTTCTTATGGCTATCTATAGATCCACAGCATAATATCAGTATTTTAACATATTTAATATCTGCTTTAATACTCCTTCTCCCTTCTCTACTTCCTTCTTCAGGGCGATATCACGTGTCACACGTGACCCTTAAGCGAACCCGCTTTTGTCGCCCGATCGGGTCTTGGCGCACAACCGCCAAAGCGAGGGAGCGACCTTGAAATTTCGAACCTTGAACGCAGATATTGAAGAACGCCCCGTGTGCGCGACGACGACGACAACCTCACGCTCCCCTTCGCCCCATTACACCGAGTCCTAATCCTCCTTCAACGACACAGCTCGTTCCTCCGGTTCCCAAGTCGCAATCATGGGTGGCGTTACTGTTCGCGATGTCGATGTAAGTGTCTGCGTTGAATCGATGCTTGTCGTCTGCTGCGTGGGATGGGACAGCTGCTCTCGAGCGGACAATTTCCCGGGATGGTTCGAGTGATAGACGAGAGCATACGAGGGTATACTTCTATCAAGTTCGAGTGAATGCATGCGAAGCTGGTATAGATATGGCATGGAGGGGACATCTAGATATATCGACTGTCTATTTGTCCCGCGTTGCTAAAGGGCGAAATGCTATAAGAGGCGGAACGAGATGCTTCATGAGAACCTGTCGGGCTTGTTCCACTCCTGGGAGTCCGGTCTACGCAGCAGATGAACGAACAAGCTTGATATTATTGCATGTTGCTGGACTTATGGCTAATATATAATTTTTACTTCTATATAGGCTCAGAAGTTCGTCGAGGCGTACTCCGCTTTCTTGAAGAGACAGGGAAAGCTCCCAATCCCAGGTCCGTCATCTACGTCCCTATAATCGATATTCTGCTTAGATTATAGAATATTAACCACTTTATCATTACAGGTTGGGTTGATACCGTCAAGACCTCCAACTCCAAAGAACTCCCCCCTCAATCGATTGACTGGTACGATTTACTCTCCAATACCTTACGTTCAGGCCTATGACTCTCAGTGGGGGCTAGAAGTCATCAAATATCCTTAATACTTACATTTCCCCACGCAACAGGTACTACGTTCGCGCTGCCGCCGTTGCCCGACACATCTACATGCGCAAGACCGTTGGTGTCGGCAGCCTACGCAAAATCCACGGTGGCCGCAAGAACCGTGGCTCCGCTCCATCCCACCACGTCGATGCCTCTGGATCCGTTGACCGAAAAATCATGCAATCCCTCGAGAAGATCGGTGTCCTTGAGCACGATGAGGACAAGGGCGGTCGCAGAATCACCCAGAGCGGCCAAAGAGATTTGGACCGTATCGCCAGGACGACCATAGAAGAGGATGAGGATGACGAGTAAATCAGTGCGGGGATAGTTGGTGCTGTGAGACGATGATGAAATAGGGGAGAGCGGAGGGCCGGGAGACAGATTAGGAAATCGAGAGAAGGCCAGAATTCTAATGTTTCCACAAACAAAAACGATATTACGGTTTGGTAAAATAAATTTCTACTTTTTTTTCACACTTCATGTCATGCAGCTGGCAGGATCTTGAGTGAGTGGAAGAGGCGAATGTACCATGAATGGATGGGCCGCGGAGTTTTATTTCGACACTCCGACTCAAGGTTTGCATTTTGCTGATGACATACGGATATGGCCAAAACATTTACCTCTTTCCAATATCTATTCCGCTCCCAATCGACACTCCCGCCTCTTAATCCTTTGTGCTCTCTGTCTATGGCTTTCCATCGCAGCCTTGCCTACCTACCTTGAAGCGAAGTAAAGAATAAAAATGTTCCAAAAAAATCATTTCAGATGGGATCAGTCACGTAGATTTTCTCTTCATCTTACCTTAGTACCTCTTACATTTATTCTTACACTGATCTGACGAGGCATCCTTAAAAATGAGTATGATATGGACAACTAACATTTCATTACAACTAGGGACAGAACATTTTACATTTAAACTAACGAAAACCCCTATCCACCCTCCTTAACTATTCTTAAACACAAGACCGGCAGCTTCCCCTTTGCCCTAAGGCTGAAGAAGAACCAAAATTACACATTAAGGTATGGCTTATCAAGGCCAAAAAAAACAAGACAAACTTGAAGGAGATAATTCTGACAGAGAGTAGAGAAGAAAATGAAAGATATCACTGGAATATCTTCAGTTGGCTGGTGGTGGTGAATGAACACGTCGCACAACACCAACAGTAGGAGCCGTTTGCTCTGGGATATCCTGGATATGCGAGCCAACTTGGCTATACCAATCATGGACTTGAGTTCTTGGGCCATTTGGATTGACATTCAGTACTGGGACCCTGCCAGTCAAAGACGGAACTGGGCGGAGAGCACCACCAAAAGATAAGGGTCGATATTCTCGGTCCTGTGCTGGGCTATAACGGCCTGTCCATGGCTGTGTGTTGCTAGAAGCTGATTCAGGAGCGGTCTCTTCTAGGATGCCATTCTCAACATCACTTTGCATGTTGAGACCATTGGCATGTGGGTATTTATTTTCCTTGTTTGCTTCTTCATGGACCAGTTCAGTGGCGGGTATATTGAATATTTCCATAACCACAGGCGTTATGCGACGTTCCTTCTCATCTTCAGACAAGTCTTCCCAGATTTCTTGTCCACTGTATGCAGATGACTGAACGCGGGTTGCCTCCGTCTGGTCAGTACTATCACCGTTCGGTCCTGGGATGGGCTGCTCTGAGGAAAGCTGATTATCGATATCAGTAAGGATGGGATCAGTATACCAAATATTCGTGTCTTCAGTGGCAATGGGATGTGGGTATGTTGCATCATCCTGATATTCAACATCATGTTGGAGTTGGATATAATTGGCGGGCATATCAGCCATTATTTCTTCAATTTCACCCTCTTTGACCACTTCCGCTTCTCCACTTTCTTCAGGCCGTTCAATGTTTCCAGCTTCTTCAACAGCTTCAACATCTGAACCCTCGTAATAAAGATCATTCGGGTCGTAATAAATGAAATCTTCAGAGGCACTACTGCCCTCTCCAGGGTATATGAATGCGTCAGATTGGAAGATGCTAAGGTCATCATCAATATCAAACAGTGCTCGTGAGGCCTCGTCTGGCTCCCACACACGGTTGTACCCGTTGCTAAAAAGCGGGCCATCGAGATCTATATTTCCCAAACGAAACGAGTTAAACTAAACGTCAGTAGTCTGACCAAGGAAGTTTTCTTCAGGGTTGATAGCATGGAATGAATGGCTCACCATTAAATCCCTCGAAAAAATCGGCATCATCGTAATCACGACCTCCTACCTCGTTATCCGCATCCGGGTCCGGATCCGCATTGGATTCACAGTCACCGAAGAAGTTGAAGTCTGTGTAAGCTCCACTGTCGTCAGAACCGCCATCGTAGCCATCATCACCACCTCCTCCGTTCTCTCCGTTGCCATGGCCTGGGTCAAAATCCCGATTTGGATTTTCTTTGTTCTGTTTATCTTCCTCTTCTTTTTCCTCGTTTTCCTCTTTTTCCTCTTCTTCCTCTTCATCGTCTTCTTCCATCTCATCTGCACCAAACTCATCTTCGGGTTCATAGCCTCCAGACCCAGAAAGTTCACCTGAATCTTTGGGCAATGAATCGTCAGGGTTGTGAGGTCCAGGGGAATTTGGTGAAGACGCCATTGTGATATCCCTATCAATGACTTGGTCTTCAGGGTGTGGGTGCTCGACTCGAGCTTTGACAGTTCCATCAGCACTGCGTTTTTCTCCTCTAGGATTCTTATTTCCTTGTTCAGTATTCCTAAGCTCTGAAGTTAGTATACCAGACTAAAGCCCATAAAGCAGGGAGACCCATACTCAGAAACACCGGCCATGGGAGGGTCCCCATTAGTAGGCATACTGCTACTGCTTTCCATATCGTCCATGACGCGACTTGTGCGGTGGGTATCTAGTATCAAACTGACGCGTGATTGAAAGAAGCTCTTTGATAGATCAAAGCCAAGCTTTCAGAATAAGAAAACAAGGTGGAAGATAATGAGCTGTTTAGAAGAGTTGCTAGCTAGCAGACAGGGTGCTAGAGTCTGACACGAATCTGTGGTTGCTTGCCCCTTTTCAGGAGCAGAAGGTTGAAAGGTGCAAGATTGATAGATCAAGAAGGTTATCTGTTTGAAACTTGAGTCTGAAGAACATTCAACTCGCTGAAGATAAAGTCACAAGAAGGCTTTGCTTTTCCAGTTTTGTTTTGATTTCCAAGATGAGTAAAAGGCGAAGAATTTTATATGTTTGTGCGAGTAAAAGGAGCCCTCTGGTACTAATAGGGGTTAGCGCGGTTTCTATGTCAACAGACCTCTCTTAGCGTTCTTTTCCTGTGAAAGGTATAACACTTGATGATGACTCTTTTGCCTCCTAGGACACTGTCCTAATGACTTTTAGGGGGTGTTGTTCCCCTGGGTATCTCTTGGAATATATTCGTGGCGAGTAAGGGGCCTCTAAACGGTACAGGATGCAGGAAACGAAGGAAATTATATTTGGATGGATCACTAGATCACAGATGTGGTAGAAATCCGGATATATAAGAAGGGCCCAATTATATACATTCTCAGACAAAATGCATTGGACCGATACCCAAGGCCGACCATAGCCACCGCCTTGGACCTGGGAGAATCCGTTCTCTAGGAAGGGATCTTGTCGCCATCCTTGTGGGTGGTAGGATCCCAGCAGACAGGATGGTACTCATTAGTATGAAGAGATTTCATATCATCCTGAGAGAGTTCAAAATCAAATATATTAGAGTTCTCCGCAATTCGGTTCTCCGTTGCTGACTTGGGGAGAGGAACAAAGCCCTATACAAATCCAGACGTGTCAGCAATTGTAAACATCTATGAAATATAGGATGAAATACTGCTTGTTGTTGATGACACTCACCTTCTGTAAACTCCATCTAACCAAGACCTGAGCTGGGCTTTTATTGTATTTCTTTGCGATCTCCTGGAGCTTTGGGTCATCCATTTTCTTTGCCTGGACAAGTGGGCTATACGCCTCAATGACAATGTTTCGCTTCTGGAGCCATTCGACGATGTCGGAACGAGCGAGCCAAGGGTGTAACTCGTATTGACCAACGTCAATTTTACCACCAATAGACTTGTTGTACTCTTCCAACTCGTTTAGATGGTGGATACCATAGTTCGAAACACCAATGGATCGAACTTTTCCTTCTTTTTGGGCCTCAACGAGGGCTTTCCATGAGCCTTCACGCTTCTCTTTCCCACCGTATGGTGCGTGAAGAAGAATCCTAAGGTCATATAAGCCAGTTATTTCTTCTAAATACAAAGCCAAAAAGAGATAACAAATAATAACTAGAGGGGCAGGATTCGGTAATTCAGAGACGACTCACAGGTCAAAATAATCTACCTTTGCGGTCTTCAAACTAGATTCAATGGCTTCCTTGGTGGGTTCGTATCCCAAGGCCCTCCATGGAACTTTGGTTGTGAAGAAGACATCAGAACGTTGAAGCCCGGACTTCCGGATAGCTTCGCCACATTCGGCTTCATTGTGATAAGCTTTAGCCGAATCGATCTATTGCCCAATATTAGCCATGGCTATGATGACACGCCAGACTAGCGCATTGAGAACGGTGATTCGATACGTACATGCCTATAGCCAGTTTCCAATGCCTTCAAAACACATCTCTCGGTGACATCTGGCGGGCTGGTGTATAGGTTAGCTTGGATCCGAGATCCTCAAATAGGCAGCACCCCAAAGGATAGCCTTACGTCTGATAGACCTATCCAATGCGTTAGCAACGACGCCATTGAGGGGTTCAACTTAGAGGACTTACACCGAATCCAACCACAGGGATTTCATGGCCAGAATTCAACTTCTTCGTCGACTGGATATTCGATTTAGCCGCCATGTTGTTACTTAACGCTCTTATGCTTCGACTGGATATTATCACACGAGATGGAAGAAGGAAAGAAGCGAACATTGGAATGTGGGCAACCATGACCATTATATATAACGGCGCAGTTACGTAGTTACCCGGGAAAGGTTATCCAAGGTGCTAACGCCCCGTTGACGTTTGTTTAAACCAAGTCAGAGATGGCCAATAGCAACGATACGGCATCTCTACGACATTAATATAATGCGGAGATAGTTAGATGCTGGTTACCAAAGTCCGATGGAGATAAGCAGGCTCCCCTGGTCAGATACGAAGGGCGTGTTTTCGCCTTCGTATGGTCTCTAGTCGACTCACAGTTCAGCGAGCATCTTTAAGATATCCGAAGCAACAACCTGATTGTTTACCTCTTCGGGGCAAAGGGACTATGACGTTCTTGACCACGCCGTTGTGGGCATCGTGTGTACTTGCTTGCTGGGCGACTTTTGTATGTGCAACTTTGTACCTCGAAGTTTCCTGATTCTCGCGCATAGCTTATGTAAGACAGTTTAGTCACATGATATAGAACTCAAATGCTTACTAAGCACGACCTTGGTGGGATATCAAAAAAAGCATTTGCTTCTTCCTAGATTTGATGTAATCAAAGATAAAAGAGGTAGAGATCGAGTTTTCTGGCTGGTCCTGTTGTATTGCTCGATACCGTCATTAGTTTCACACACATATTAGCCTCCTTTTTCGGATTTTCAGCGATGTATGTGGCTTATTAACCTGCATACATATGCATGTCAGAACCCCGCTGACTTCACATTTACGAAACAGTTTCATCCTCTGAGCTCGGACAGCTATCTCTATATCGCCGCCGGAATATAGTATATGCCAGATATCCCGAATGGGAATACCAGCCAGTTTCCCGACAAACTAGCCCCCAGACTGGATCGGGCCGAAGTGATCCTATCCACAATTTAGCGCCGCCTTGTGTGCTCGAGTGCATGGTGCAAGGTCACACTTGTAGCACTCAAGCCGAGAGGGGATTTCTTCTGACTGCCGGTGTACGCTATTGTCAGTTTTTGCAAAGGAGACACCGACGCTTTGATAATGCGCCTCATCAAGCAAAATATCGAGCGGAATGGCTCGGGTTCTGTTACGCTCTACCCAGAGGAACCAGAAGACATGGTACGGGGTTAATGACTATTACCCTCCCCGTTTATCTTTTTTTTTTTTTTTTTTTTTTTTTTTGCAAATTCTTCAATTTAGCGCTCGACTTCCTTATGGGAATCGGTTCGCAGGGAATATTGTGATGAAAAGGGCCACACGCTAATTCTACATCTTGCTTTTGCTTTTGGCCTTACCTTCAGTGGCATGCGTACAACCTCATACGGCCTAATGACCTTCTAAAAGCCAGCGCAATACGCCGGGTGACCACCACCGCAACTACAGGAACTACAACTTCCTCCCGCGTCCATATGAACTTACAAATCCGTGTTAAGAGTCTTGATTTCGACATCCAAAGCTGCCAGCTCCATGTATCCGGTCAGATCGTTGTAGAAACACCATATACGAAGATTGGCCAGCATCACACCCTTGATTTGGAATTACAGAGGAATTTCACGTTAGAGAAAGAAGTAGAAGGCACAGCCCTGCCAGGGGATGGGCCATCAACGGGTACCTCCGCTGGTGGATGGGACAGTATGGCAATTGAAATGTTGAAAGATGCCGTTGATGAGGGTGGTAAAAGGAGGGCGGAGGCCGTGGCTGTGGTTATGCAAGAAGGACTTGCAAATATATGCTTTATTGGACAATATCAAACAGTTCTAAAGCAGAAGGTCGAGCTTACAATCCCAAGAAAGAGGCAAGGGGGAAGTGACCATGACAAGGTACGAATATATTTCTACTCACCCCCCTTTTTTTACCTCATTTTTGATGAAGCTAATGTAATGACCCCTAAAATAGTCCCTATCGAAGTTCTATCAGCTTACCCTAGACAACCTTTTGCGCCTTATCGAATTCAACAGCGCCACAGGCTCTTCTGTCGTCACCACACCAACTTCAGGTTCAGGTAGTGATACGGCCGCAAAGCCTATCCTCCTTGCCTCTCCGGGATTCACTGCAGCCGGATTCCAAAAACATATTCAATCCGTTGCCAACACTACCACACCATCCTTAAAACCACTCCTCCAAAGCTTGGTAGTAGTTCATTCTTCATCAGGCCACATCCACTCCCTAAATGAAGTGCTACAGTCCCCTGCTGTCCAAGCACGATTAGCCAACACAAAATATGCGCGCGAGACGGCACTGATGGATACATTCTACACACATCTACGAAAGGATACGAACAAGGCTACCTATGGCCCTGGCGAGGTAGAGTCAGCCGTCGATCAGGGAGCAGTAGGTAGAGGCGGAGGAGTCTTGTTGATCTCGAATAGGTTATTCAGGGCGCCAAATGTGCGTGAGAGACAGAGGTGGGTTGCCCTAGTGGACCGGGTGAGGGATGTCGAAGGCGGAGAGGTCAGAGTCCTTAGTTCTGATCATGAAAGTGGGAGAAGGTTGGACGGCCTAGGTGGCGTTGCTGCAATTTTGACATTTCCTATTGAGGACAATGACGAAGAGCATGACGAAGAAGATGGCTAAGGGAAACAAACATATAACTGGAAGAAATTTACCACTCAATGATATCCACGATCACGCCCGTTCGCGATTAGTAAATATGAAATGCAGAAGCGCTGCCCTACCCATCATTACTAAACCTGACCGACATAAGTAATAGAAATGCAAGGCTCCCCCTTTAATCTTCCATCTGGAAGTTGAGATGTTGAGATAAGGTTGACCCATGGGCGGAACGGTAATCGAGTGCATATTTGTAAGCGGTTAAAGCACCCCTAATGTCGCTTAAATATGAGTATTTTGGCCAAGCAGATTATGCTTAGTAGATAATAAGGAATGGAACATTGCATGGCGTCAAAGACACTGGCTGTGCTCATAGTAATCAAGTCATGTTGTGAGAGGCCAATGCCGGCACTGCTTTGCATAGCTGTAATGTTGGCCACATACAGTCGGTATTAGTATACAGATCATGGAGAAGAGAACAAAGTCGAAGTAGACAGGAGCAGGATATGAGACTAGGATAGTATGAGGATATTGGAAAAGGGAAATATGCATGATAAGAGCTACCCAAGTAAGAAAATGGATACACGTCTATGAATGAACTCAAGTGCTGTGAAGATAAATTCAATTTTGGACTTTGTCTTCTACACTCTCCCATTATTCTCGCTTGAGATTATCCTGTATACACATAGGAAAACAACAATGTATGCCCGAGGAAGTACTGATAAAGACGTATGAAACAATTTCTCCCAAAATGTAAACAAGCAACCAGAGACCAGAAAACAGAACACGTAGTGAAAAAAAGGAGAAGGAAAATTAACATGCAAAACCAAATCATGGATCATAATATCAAGAGTGTACTCCGTGCTTATGTATATAGATGTGTGCCGCCGGTGATAGTGCATAAGGAAAAACGGTAACTTTGGGTTCAAAAACGTGTTGGGGTATCAAGAATGGGGAAGATCCACAGCTCAAGCAAGGAAAAATAGGGGACAAGGGCTGCGTGTGCTATAAAGTGCTGGATGTTTGTAAAAACCATTCAGAAGCGCCGACGTAGGAAAAGGTGACTTGAGGATGAAAGGTATTAATTATTGTGTCCGGGGACGTTTGGGTTGATGTTCTTCGTCATCATCGTCGGCTTCTGGTTCTGGTCCTGGTTCTTCTTCTATTTCTCTTGGGCTGGTTTCCAGAGCCCGACTATGTGTTTGAAGTAATTCCCATTTTTGTTCGCATTGTGAAGGAGTCCACCTTTTTGTAGCCCCAAAGTCTTGTATCTATAAGATAGCCAGTTAGATAACATAGCCTCTCTTTGGTCGCCGTGGCTTGTCACGGACCTTCTGTGATATTATCTCGAATTTTTCAGTCTCCCAGTACGAATGAGCATTCTGAAGCGCTTGAATCTAAGAATGAACGTTAATCGAACCGTTGGCTGGTTGGAAAGGGGTTGGGGATAAATGAAAATGCTAATCAAACTGGGAAATAGGCGCACATACTCACATCATCCTCGGACCACCCTTTCATCATACGTTGCCACCGACGTGTGATGCGCATTTGGAGGCGGGAGGCGGTATAGTTGGCGTTGAAAGCAAAATTCACCCGCGATACAACATCCTTCCAGGCGTACCCTTCGTTTCTAAGCTTTATGGCAAAGTCCGTCTCTTCTTCTAATTGTGTTGACCGCCTTCGGGTCCGTCGACGCCGTCTGGGATTGCGCTGAGCTTGCTCTTCCTGACTAATTTGTCTTTCTTGCTCTAGCTGTCGGAGGCCGGCAGGGTTTGGGGCGATAGTAACTGGGGGTCTTAGATGTACTGGTGTATGCGCTGGGGTGTGTGGTGGTGCTCTGGTGGTCCTCATTTGCGATCTCTCCCTCTCATACCCAGCAGAATCGGTATGGTCCACTATATTTCCCATCATAGGTCTATGAAATGGATTGTATGAAGGCATCCCGGGTTGCACGTAGCTTAGCGCAGAAGTTCCAGTGATTCCAAGGCCGTGCTGTATCCCACCACCCATAGAAGGATATCGGGGGTCTTGATGTTGCTGGTGGCCCTGGGATGGGCTATGTCGAGGGTCAAGAAGGACACTGCCGGAGAGGCTGATAGGAGTGAGCATAGCTTGATTGGCGTGAGAGGTGGACACATAAGGATTTGAGGTGGTGGTGTATGTCTATTCATCCAAGGTCAGTACTGGATGGTGAAAGCAATGTTATCAGGCCGCCGTAAGCAGCAGGTCGCATTCATACCGTGCCTGGAGTGACCCATTCTTGGTGATCAAGCATATTAGACATTTGGCCTGGGAAAGGCGTCTCCTCCCATGAGCTGGCGAGATCGTCGGTTGCCATGAGGGGCACTCTGAGCAAGTGAGGAGTAGTTGTATAAGGGCAGGACTAGTCCAGCAACCTCCGCGCAAATGGAGGTATAGAAAGAAAGAAGAATTAAAAGAAGCAAGCTTCTAGTGAAGGCGCATTCAAGAGAGGTGAAAGATGCAAAGCGTAGGTAGGTGGCTTTCAGTCAAGCACTCCGATGGTTGGTAGTTGGTTTGAGGTTGAGTAGTCGATGGAGAATATTGTCCGAGTTCGATGCGGAAGACCATGTAGTTATATAAATGTGACCTGCGTCTGAAGAATTGCGGACAACAGAAGGATAGCTTGCTTGTCAACAAGTAGCGGGAAGCCAACTGTAGCGGGCCAGATAAATGTAGCCAAATCAGGAGCACAGACAATGCAATGAACGCTCCTGCATCCAAGATTTTCAAATGATCTGAGGTCATGATCCTCTTTTTTTTCAAATCTCTCCTTCTCATATACCTACTGCTTCTCCAGAGCGGGAAAAAGATAATGGAAAATTAAAGGTCCACATGCTGTTATGACTGTGCCACTTCAGCCAGAAGGGCGACATGGTAGATCCGCAATGGAAAATTAAAAAAATACAAAAAAAAGAGGACGTGAAATGGAGAGGAGAATGAAAATTAAAAAGGCTGCATCTAAGCGCCGGCTTATGGCAATCCTCAAGGGGGTCGGTTTGATCCATAGAGGAGGTAGAATCAAGATGGCCCCCATTTGACCTCGAGATTCTAGGATGCGCTTTTAGGCAACCGACAGGGGATCAGGTACATCTAAGCCTGCGCCTAACCCACGCACCGGCGACCGTGAGCGGCCTGATTATACCGTCCGTAACGGGCTTGGGGTTCTTAGTTGTTGACGTTGATGCGGAGAGCAGCGCCCCCCCTTAGAAACGTACCCAGCCAAAACAGGTGGGAATAAAGGCAGCCAGGGGGGTCAAGGCCTTAGTCAACCTCGACTCAGCAGGAGGTGACATTTTAGCGCAAGAAGGTTAAAAGGGAACTCGTTAAAGAGAAAGAAAAAGAAAAGAAAAGAGTAGAAAAGAAAAGGGAAAAAATTCCCTCTTTCCCCTGGCAGCAGCGATTTCCGGCCGGCAAGGCTTGTCAGGTCAGGCCGGGCTGGGAGAGCCAGCTTTGCTTCGATCGTTAAGCAGGCGACAGACAGGGAGTATCGAATGTTATCCTATCACCGCGCAAGCCGCTCGTCCCAGGAGAACGGAACCGAATCATAGCTGGCCCCTGTACCTAAAAAAGAAATACTAAAAGCCACTGTCTTCTTGTGTTTAAGTTTGTGCCCTTCCATCCGAACCGTGGTGTATTTCCAAGCATTAAGGGCGAATATCAGAGCGATGCGCAGCAACGACGATAATATTAATAATAGCTATTGTCGTGGTCGAGATACTTGAAACCGTGATGCTCCGTAGGTATATACCGGTTTTTACCTCTGTGCAGGGGTAACATATTAATAACGGCCAGTCAGAACCGGTAGGTGAGAAAAGGGGGTGCTCCCTTGCGGCGTAGGGCAGTACCCTCTTGGGATGGGTTAGCAGGCGTGTACTCTGGGGTGTGTACACGGCTCTCCTCTGGCTGTACATGGTAAGCAAGCATGCACCCACCTGGATATGCACGTCTATTCGGGTTCGTACGAAGGGCCATCGATATTCTTCCGAGCTGTGCCACTCCACTTCGATGTGTCTTGGGGGCCTTTGCAAGAAGCACACGGTCCGATGATTTACTGATCTTCTTCACAGAGCTATTAACGTGAGGGCCATAATGGAAAAAAAGAAAAGAAGGGGGGGAAAAACCCTCTTTCCCCTCATGGGTTTTACTTTTTCGCCGAGTCAGTAAGAGTTCCGGGACAAAAGAAAGCAAAAAAAAAAAAAGAGCGCTGATGAGCGTCGTATCCACAACATCGAAAAGCGTTCGATGAAAGAGGTGGTGTGTGCGAGAATCATTTGCAGGTGGGGGCTCTAATTAGCGCGGGAGATAGCCTATTCTGTTCCTGTCGTTCTCTCCACGGAGGGAGAATATAGAATCATCCGTAGTATACTCTGTACTCCGTACTAGTTCTCCTCGAAGCGGAATGATTGATCCAAGCGAGCCAGGCAGAAGTGCCGGTTTGCGAGTAGAGGGCCTTGTTCTAGGCTATATGGAGCAACTGAACAAGGAAATCCAGGTCTGGAGGCCCTTGAACGAAACGTCTCCATGGCCGTTTTTGTGGCTAGCCGCCGGGCCATTCTCCCTAACCAGGATGCGGCTATTGGAGACTGGTTGCTATAAGGAGCGTGGACCACGTATATGCGATGGACCACTACATTAGCATGTACGTGTACTCCATACGTACGTAGCACTACGTAAAGGTGGGATGAGGATGAGGCTAATGGGGGAAGTAGCCGTCATACGTTGACTGGGATCCTTGGGCGAGAGATTGGCGAGTTTTGGAAGACAGGGTGGTTGTACCGAGAAGCTTGGCGGCAGTGGAGATTAAACGGCGAACGAACGAGGGTCAGGCAGTGATAGAATGGGAGGTCGGAGAGACGGCGAGACGGAGACGACCAGGGCAGGAGAGAGACAGAGATAGATAGCGTGTGGATGTTGTCTTTTCCCTGTATCAATGGTTTGTGGGGGTTGGAGCTATGAGTTTCAGTCTTGGATGTTATTTTTGCTCCGCCGGCAACGGGTCGACCCTGAGGCTCTGTTTAGGCAATTGATGCGAGGTAGCAGCTGCGAACATACTCCTCGATGTCTGCAGCGGTCGATTGGCTTCGCGAGAAGGGGGCCGTTGCCATTGATCAGGAATATCGAGTTACGGGCCAAAAAGAAAACCCGGCCAGCCACGGACGGACGGGCGATCGTCGTGCACAACCGACTGGAATCACAGCAGCTGCGAGCAGATCGAGCCTGGGGAGAGAGGCCGAGGAGGCACAAGAGGCTAGCCACTGCGGTATGGGGCTGCGAAAGTCGCTGAGTGGCCGCGGGACTCGCAGATGAGGTTCGCGATATAGGGGGCTGGCGCTTAACAGGCGAAGATGAATGGATCGGGGTCTATATCACGTGACTGACTTGGGAACCACCGAGGAGGAAAAGACAACATTTCAACCATGCCGGATAGCGCGATGCAGGTTACATCTTCCCGGTCGTTAGCAGCGCTGATAACGGAGACGGCAGCACTCGACAGCACTAGATACCCCCTGGCAGACATCTCGACCCCAGCTCGGAGGGGAGAAAGAGACCCCAACTCCCGAAGCTAGAGTCGAGAAGGACGATACCGAATCAGAGCTCCCCCGTCTGCGTTGCCCGGCCGAGTCCCCAGCTATATTCGCCAGTTCCTGGACCGGGCGACGGGCGTTCTAGAAGGTTTCGATATCGAAAGCTGCTAGAACCGCTAGACTATTGATTGACTCAGGTAGATCTTCCCATGCTGCGCCGCACAGTCCCTGCCCTAGGCAGCCAGCTCCCGTTTCCGCTTTTTGCCCCGTCTACGCTAATGATATAGGGAGAATCCTAGGCCATACTCCACGTTGCCAGGCAGAGATGGGCCAGCAGGTAGGCAGCAGGACGGCTTACTGGACCGAAGACGAGCTGCTGCTACAAAGCCTGGCCGGTTCATAAGAATTATATAATTATCCCGCGGTGAATTCATATACCAAAACAACGGGATAATTGTTAGCTGTTGTTCCCGTTCCCCGTGACAGATGGGTTCTACTCTGAATCCGCTATTTTTACCATCAGTTGACAGAAGACTGCTGTCTACCTGCCCTTTTCACTGTCCCTGCATCAAGCTGCAAATTAAAATAGCATTTTGCTCCCAACGGCGCAGTGGCTCTTTTCCTGTTGGTGCCCTGGTGAAGAATGCTTCCGTCGTGGGCTCGGTGCGACAATGAACATCGCCAACATTATGGGACGTCAACTCTGATTTTTATTTAGACTACCGCCGTGGCATCCCCGCGCCATTGCCGTAGCTGCCGTCAGCCCGCTTTGCTCGGATGGCTCAGTTACGCCTTAACTCACAAATGATGGCCTGATGTCCCAAAATAGGGTAATGGCATTGCGCTTCATGCTGAACAGTTGGAAGGCACACATGGCCTATTTTTATCTGTATAAGCCCCATCGACCGCTGTCATGAGTGTCCACTCCATGATAGGCCACTAGGCCGGGAAGCCGCATCTATGCTCCGAAACCCCACTTCTCCATACACTGAGCACAGCTGAGCTTGGACGTTGTTTGCTGAAGCTCAGAGCTCTTTGTGAGAGAAATGAATATGCAGTGCTACTTAAGCTACCATATTCTACCTCAGACCGATGGTATCATGGCATATCCTCTATCGCACAATCTCAGAGGTTACTCTGCATAGTGGATTCGGTGGCTTCTGCTAAGCACGGAATCCTTTACCTGCAATATACTGTAACAGAAAACCATCACCTCGGTTTCTAACATCTTTAATCATCAACACCTGGAGTTGAGCCGCTGTCTCGGGATAGGTTGAACGTATGGTGCTTGTGCGAGAGCAGATAACCGGGCTGTGCCCTGGCGAGCCTCAAGCCCTACTAATTATAGCCTTCGATAGCCCTGATTGAGAGTTCCAAGGCCCGTCTTGAGGTACTGCTCGAAATTAAGCTCTGGACGGCATGGCGGGACATGGAATGACGCATTTTGCTGCGAATATATGATCTATACCTACCCGTCTGGGCTAGGCGGGTTGCTAATCCAGGGTCAAATACTCCGTTTGTACCCTGGAGCCAAAAAAAAATAACCTTCCTAGATACCTTTCGCGCGCACACTCTGCCTATCCTTTGCTACGTGAGCATGTAACTTCATTCTTCTTTTTTTTTTTACCTGCTGATCGGTATCGCTCACGAGGAAGACTGCAGAGTGAGGCCATGCATACACCTGCGAAAACCAGGCCAAGCAGATAGGCAGTGCTGACTAGGGTGAGAAGTTCGGTGCCGAATCGCTCTATCTAGGGGGGTCTGGTTAGACATATTGCTGGATACGCTAATG